AATCATGCAGCAACAAAATGGATGTATCCAAATTGACGATGTACTTGGAAATCACATGCCAGTCTCTGTGAATGGCTACCATCCATGCTCTCCCCTTACCCCTGCTCAGTATGTCTCATTCCACTCTTCTGACGGCTGCAAATGTTCACTTTAGTTATTAAATTTCATTGTATACTTGTTGGCATTAATTTTCATTTTGAAGTCTGCATAATCCGTACTAGTTTCATTTAGTATGACTTTCATTTTTTAACTCCAGCAGGCGACTAGAAAGTCACAGAATAAATTCCATTTACAGCAGCATCATGGTCTTAACACACCGCATATTGCAAACGACATTTAACCAATATTCGTGATTTACCTATTTAATCAATCAAGCTACAGCAGTCGAATGGCGGAACAAACTACACATTTAACCGAGTCTCATGAAGTTTTGGCTTACGATCAAGAAGCGAGCCCAAGGAAATCAATTTGATTTACAGTAGATCGGAAAAGCATATTAAATATTGATAGCTACTGACCTTGGAGCAATTTTCAACCCTCTTTACCAATGACCTTGAGGGGGTAACCTCATACAGCATTCATTTGAATAGACAGGTGAGTAAGGTGATACAGATAGTTTAGAAGCAATAGCAGAAAAAATAGACAATTTGTATGTTAACCAGTCTTCAGACCTCGTTACCAGTCAGAATGTACGAATATATATTTCCGACTAGTTTTATTTATGTACCATATGTAAAACAGCATATTACTCGTGTATACATAGCCGCAACAATCGCCCCTGAAGATGTCAAATTGACTTTAAGGCAATAAGATGACAAATTTGCAAGATTGTTTTACATGCTAATTTAGTATCCACAACTCTAAACCGTGTAGAGTTTCACGAGTTTTGTTTGGAGTACTGAGTTCATCTCGTTTGTAGTATTTTTCAGGCGAATTGGTAATTAAAAGTGGACAATAAGTTAGCCTAAGGAATGTCAAGGTTGAATTTGGACATTCACTATGAGATTTTCAAATCTCATCATGTTATTGAATGTTTTGTTTTGGTTTACCAAAACTATATAATGTGCTCAATATATTGAGCACATTATATCATCTCTTTCACATAGATATTGGTGCGCTCCTTGAATACGACGTACGTTTTCCTCTCTAACCGGAAATATCCACTTTTGTGAATTATTCGTTTGGGAAACCCATCCGGCGAATTTTATTCAACCATTTCTTCTTCACCGAGCCTGTGTGGTACTTCCCGCTGTCTCGAACTACTGCCAAAGCTTCAGGTGCTACTTCTGTAGCAACATCCTCCTCACTCTTTCAAATATACAGGACTTGTTGATCTGTTACATGATTGCTGTGAAGCTGACCATAACCTGAAAGTTACAGGTAAAGTCAAAAGCTTTTACTTATATACTTTATCCTTCTGTTCTGTGCTTTCTATTGTCTTTTACTGTCAGTCTATTGGACAAAATAGCTCCACTGTCTCTTATTATTTAATCATCAGTATTTAGGAGTAATATGACGATAGATTCTCACCCTAAGATAAGTAATGGGACACCATACTCCGTTGTGAGACCTGGCCACTGAGAGTGGAAGACATGAAAAGACTAGCTACCTTTGATCATAGGTGCCTGCGTTCTATTTCCCGTGTAAAGTGGCATAATAAGGTGAGCAACATGGAGGTTAGGCGTAGAGTTCTAGGTAAGGAGGGGAAATCAATCGACGAAGTCGTGAAGCTACATCGACTGAGATGGTTAGGACATGTGTTACGTATGCCAAGTCATCGCCTCCCTCGACGAGCTATGTTAGCAGATATAGGGTCAGGCTGGAAAAAAGCTAGCGGCGGTCAAACAAAAACTTGGCACCAGTCAATGAAATCCACAACAGTTGGTCTAAGCCACGTAGGAAGGTGTAGACTTCCAGGCTGGGGTCCTCGGGACGGCAAAAATCTATGGTTGGAAACAATTGGTGACATGGCTCAAAATCGTTCTCAGTGGCGCAGATGCATCCACTCCCTGTGACTTATGATCTTCAATGAAACTGTTTTGTATTTATTTATTACTCCTTTGTCTCACACCTCTGCTCACTGTTTCTATTATGCTTTTCTTGTACTTTCTTCTCTTGCTTCGCGTGCTACACGGAATGTGGCGACTTGAACTGCCGCACATTTGTGCAAAGTTCTATGTCGAAAACAGACAGACAGACAGATACTCCGTGGTCACCAGGGCTTCAGCCAAATTGATCAAACAGGTGAAGGTGATGGACTCTCGCATACCGGTCTTGAAGACCAGGGCAGATATTCCCTGCTCGTACAGATTGCCCATGTCGCCACAGTCCTACAGTGAAACTTTGCAAAGTCAACCAAGTGGATGCGGCTCCATCCCTGTTAACACGATTAGGTTAACAGAGCTGAGTGGGAAACTGCACTAAGTGAGAATTGTATAACACCCATCTCCATATTAGGCCATGAAACAAACAGGAAGGCCGAAAAGAAACGTTCACGACGTTGAAAGACAACAAAGACGTTCCCCAAGAAGGTAAACGATTGCGAGGTCTGCGATTCTGTTGTCGAACAAGCAGACTCTGCCTTCGAATGCAACTTTGCAAGCGATGGGTACATTGTAGACGCAACACTGGGTTACCAAAAGTATATTATGATTTTATGCGTAAGAACCCATGCCCATGGTTCTGGTACATATGCTCAAGTTGCCGTCCTGATGCATAGACCTCCGTATCGCCGTCCACATCCACATCCACTACAAATACACATACACATCAACATCCACATGCACACACACACACATACACATACACATTCACATACACATCGCCAACTCATCTAACGTCTTCAAACCAGACACAATTCCCTCACATCCACTCAACAATCTCACTCGAACATCCACGAAGATCACACAGACACACACACACACACAAACACACACAGTCACACTCACACAGTCACACACACACAACCACAATCACAAACAGATTCAGACACAGACAGACACATACACATATTAGTGAAACACTCGCCCTGACCAAATCAACATCAAATGCACACACTCTCTCACACTAACTGGAACGCGAACAAACCAACTGACACAATGCAACACTCGACGAGCAGAATGGAAGCCGACACTCACCTATCGTGTGTTCATTGTCTTCAGGCTGACCAGTCAACTCCCCGGACACTCCCTCACCACCTTCTTCCACACCTACAAGGAAGAAGGGAGAAGACGTGAACACTTGCTCACAGGTATACACCACATGCTCACAAAGAGTATCAGTCGAAGCCGCCTGCAAATACGAAGGAAGACCATGGTCACGCCCTCCTTCACATTAATCACATCGCCTTCAACATCAAAATAGACCTCCGTATCGCCGTCCACATCCACATCCACTACAAATACACATACACATCAACATCCACATGCACACACACACACACATACACATACACATTCACATACACATCGCCAACTCATCTAACGTCTTCAAACCAGACACAATTCCCTCACATCCACTCAACAATCTCACTCGAACATCCACGAAGATCACACAGACACACACACACACAAACACACACAGTCACACTCACACAGTCACACACACACAACCACAATCACAAACAGATTCAGACACAGACAGACACATACACATATTAGTGAAACACTCGCCCTGACCAAATCAACATCAAATGCACACACTCTCTCACACTAACTGGAACGCGAACAAACCAACTGACACAATGCAACACTCGACGAGCAGAATGGAAGCCGACACTCACCTATCGTGTGTTCATTGTCTTCAGGCTGACCAGTCAACTCCCCGGACACTCCCTCACCACCTTCTTCCACACCTACAAGGAAGAAGGGAGAAGACGTGAACACTTGCTCACAGGTATACACCACATGCTCACAAAGAGTATCAGTCGAAGCCGCCTGCAAATACGAAGGAAGACCATGGTCACGCCCTCCTTCACATTAATCACATCGCCTTCAACATCAAAATAGACCTCCGTATCGCCGTCCACATCCACATCCACTACAAATACACATACACATCAACATCCACATGCACACACACACACACATACACATACACATTCACATACACATCGCCAACTCATCTAACGTCTTCAAACCAGACACAATTCCCTCACATCCACTCAACAATCTCACTCGAACATCCACGAAGATCACACAGACACACACACACACACAAACACACACAGTCACACTCACACAGTCACACACACACAACCACAATCACAAACAGATTCAGACACAGACAGACACATACACATATTAGTGAAACACTCGCCCTGACCAAATCAACATCAAATGCACACACACTCTCACACTAACTGGAACGCGAACAAACCAACTGACACAATGCAACACTCGACGAGCAGAATGGAAGCCGACACTCACCTATCGTGTGTTCATTGTCTTCAGGCTGACCAGTCAACTCCCCGGACACTCCCTCACCACCTTCTTCCACACCTACAAGGAAGAAGGGAGAAGACGTGAACACTTGCTCACAGGTATACACCACATGCTCACAAAGAGTATCAGTCGAAGCCGCCTGCAAATACGAAGGAAGACCATGGTCACGCCCTCCTTCACATTAATCACATCGCCTTCAACATCAAAATAGACCTCCGTATCGCCGTCCACATCCACATCCACTACAAATACACATACACATCAACATCCACATGCACACACACACACACATACACATACACATTCACATACACATCGCCAACTCATCTAACGTCTTCAAACCAGACACAATTCCCTCACATCCACTCAACAATCTCACTCGAACATCCACGAAGATCACACAGACACACACACACACAAACACACACAGTCACACTCACACAGTCACACACACACAACCACAATCACAAACAGATTCAGACACAGACAGACACATACACATATTAGTGAAACACTCGCCCTGACCAAATCAACATCAAATGCACACACTCTCTCACACTAACTGGAACGCGAACAAACCAACTGACACAATGCAACACTCGACGAGCAGAATGGAAGCCGACACTCACCTATCGTGTGTTCATTGTCTTCAGGCTGACCAGTCAACTCCCCGGACACTCCCTCACCACCTTCTTCGACACCTACAAGGAAGAAGGGAGAAGACGTGAACACTTGCTCACAGGTATACACCAAATGCTCACAAAGAATATCAGTCGAAGCCGCCTGCAAATACGAAGGAAGACCATGGTCACGCCCTCCTTCACATTAATCACATCGCCTTCAACATCAAAATAGACCTCCGTATCGCCGTCCACATCCACATCCACTACAAATACACATACACATCAACATCCACATGCACACACACACACATACACATACACATTCACATACACATCGCCAACTCATCTAACGTCTTCAAACCAGACACAATTCCCTCACATCCACTCAACAATCTCACTCGAACATCCACGAAGATCACACACACACACACACACAAACACACACAGTCACACTCACACAGTCACACACACACAACCACAATCACAAACAGATTCAGACACAGACAGACACATACACATATTAGTGAAACACTCGCCCTGACCAAATCAACATCAAATGCACACACTCTCTCACACTAACTGGAACGCGAACAAACCAACTGACACAATGCAACACTCGACGAGCAGAATGGAAGCCGACACTCACCTATCGTGTGTTCATTGTCTTCAGGCTGACCAGTCAACTCCCCGGACACTCCCTCACCACCTTCTTCCACACCTACAAGGAAGAAGGGAGAAGACGTGAACACTTGCTCACAGGTATACACCACATGCTCACAAAGAATATCAGTCAAAGCCGCCTGCAAATACGAAGGAAGACCATGGTCACGCCCTCCTTCACATTAATCACATCGCCTTCAACATCAAAATAGACCTCCGTATCGCCGTCCACATCCACATCCACTACAAATACACATACACATCAACATCCACATGCACACACACACACATACACATACACATTCACATACACATCGCCAACTCATCTAACGTCTTCAAACCAGACACAATTCCCTCACATCCACTCAACAATCTCACTCGAACATCCACGAAGATCACACAGACACACACACACACACAAACACACACAGTCACACTCACACAGTCACACACACACAACCACAATCACAAACAGATTCAGACACAGACAGACACATACACATATTAGTGAAACACTCGCCCTGACCAAATCAACATCAAATGCACACACTCTCTCACACTAACTGGAACGCGAACAAACCAACTGACACAATGCAACACTCGACGAGCAGAATGGAAGCCGACACTCACCTATCGTGTGTTCATTGTCTTCAGGCTGACCAGTCAACTCCCCGGACACTCCCTCACCACCTTCTTCCACACCTACAAGGAAGAAGGGAGAAGACGTGAACACTTGCTCACAGGTATACACCACATGCTCACAAAGAATATCAGTCAAAGCCGCCTGCAAATACGAAGGAAGACCATGGTCACGCCCTCCTTCACATTAATCACATCGCCTTCAACATCAAAATAGACCTCCGTATCGCCGTCCACATCCACATCCACTACAAATACACATACACATCAACATCCACATGCACACACACACACACATACACATACACATTCACATACACATCGCCAACTCATCTAACGTCTTCAAACCAGACACAATTCCCTCACATCCACTCAACAATCTCACTCGAACATCCACGAAGATCACACAGACACACACACACACACAAACACACACAGTCACACTCACACATTCCACGCACACACACACACAACCACAATCACAAACAGATTCAGACACAGACAGACACATACACATATTAGTGAAACACTCGCCCTGACCAAATCAACATCAAATGCACACACTCTCTCACACTAACTGGGACGCGAACAAACCAACTGACACAATGCAACACTCGACGAGCAGAATGGAAGCCGACACTCACCTATCGTGTGTTCATTGTCTTCAGGCTGACCAGTCAACTCCCCGGACACTCCCTCACCACCTTCTTCCACACCTACAAGGAAGAAGGGAGAAGACCTGAACACTTGCTCACAGGTATACACCAAATGCTCACAAAGAATATCAGTCAAAGCCGCCTGCAAATACGAAGGAAGACCATGGTCACGCCCTCCTTCACATTAATCACATCGCCTTCAACATCAAAATAGACCTCCGTATCGCCGTCCACATCCACATCCACTACAAATACACATACACATCAACATCCACATGCACACACACACACACATACACATACACATTCACATACACATCGCCAACTCATCTAACGTCTTCAAACCAGACACAATTCCCTCACATCCACTCAACAATCTCACTCGAACATCCACGAAGATCACACAGACACACACACACACAAACACACACAGTCACACTCACACAGTCACACACACACAACCACAATCACAAACAGATTCAGACACAGACAGACACATACACATATTAGTGAAACACTCGCCCTGACCAAATCAACATCAAATGCACACACTCTCTCACACTAACTGGACGCGAACAAACCAACTGACACAATGCAACACTCGACGAGCAGAATGGAAGCCGACACTCACCTATCGTGTGTTCATTGTCTTCAGGCTGACCAGTCAACTCCCCGGACACTCCCTCACCACCTTCTTCCACACCTACAAGGAAGAAGGGAGAAGACCTGAACACTTGCTCACAGGTATACACCAAATGCTCACAAAGAATATCAGTCAAAGCCGCCTGCAAATACGAAGGAAGACCATGGTCACGCCCTCCTTCACATTAATCACATCGCCTTCAACATCAAAATAGACCTCCGTATCGCCGTCCACATCCACATCCACTACAAATACACATACACATCAACATCCACATGCACACACACACACACATACACATACACATTCACATACACATCGCCAACTCATCTAACGTCTTCAAACCAGACACAATTCGTTCACATCCACTCAACAATCTCACTCGAACATCCACGAAGATCACACAGACACACACACACACACAAACACACACAGTCACACTCACACATTCCACGCACACACACACACAACCACAATCACAAACAGATTCAGACACAGACAGACACATACACATATTAGTGAAACACTCGCCCTGACCAAATCAACATCAAATGCACACACTCTCTCACACTAACTGGAACGCGAACAAACCAACTGACACAATGCAACACTCGACGAGCAGAATGGAAGCCGACACTCACCTATCGTGTGTTCATTGTCTTCAGGCTGACCAGTCAACTCCCCGGACACTCCCTCACCACCTTCTTCCACACCTACAAGGAAGAAGGGAGAAGACGTGAACACTTGCTCACAGGTATACACCACATGCTCACAAAGAGTATCAGTCGAAGCCGCCTGCAAATACGAAGGAAGACCATGGTCACGCCCTCCTTCACATTAATCACATCGCCTTCAACATCAAAATAGACCTCCGTATCGCCGTCCACATCCACATCCACTACAAATACACATACACATCAACATCCACATGCACACACACACACATACACATACACATTCACATACACATCGCCAACTCATCTAACGTCTTCAAACCAGACACAATTCCCTCACATCCACTCAACAATCTCACTCGAACATCCACGAAGATCACACAGACACACACACACACACAAACACACACAGTCACACTCACACAGTCACACACACACAACCACAATCACAAACAGATTCAGACACAGACAGACACATACACATATTAGTGAAACACTCGCCCTGACCAAATCAACATCAAATGCACACACTCTCTCACACTAACTGGAACGCGAACAAACCAACTGACACAATGCAACACTCGACGAGCAGAATGGAAGCCGACACTCACCTATCGTGTGTTCATTGTCTTCAGGCTGACCAGTCAACTCCCCGGACACTCCCTCACCACCTTCTTCCACACCTACAAGGAAGAAGGGAGAAGACGTGAACACTTGCTCACAGGTATACACCACATGCTCACAAAGAGTATCAGTCGAAGCCGCCTGCAAATACGAAGGAAGACCATGGTCACGCCCTCCTTCACATTAATCACATCGCCTTCAACATCAAAATAGACCTCCGTATCGCCGTCCACATTCACATCCACTACAAATACACATACACATCAACATCCACATGCACACACACACACACATACACATACACATTCACATACACATCGCCAACTCATCTAACGTCTTCAAACCAGACACAATTCCCTCACATCCACTCAACAATCTCACTCGAACATCCACGAAGATCACACAGACACACACACACACACAAACACACACAGTCACACTCACACAGTCACACACACACAACCACAATCACAAACAGATTCAGACACAGACAGACACATACACATATTAGTGAAACACTCGCCCTGACCAAATCAACATCAAATGCACACACTCTCTCACACTAACTGGAACGCGAACAAACCAACTGACACAATGCAACACTCGACGAGCAGAATGGAAGCCGACACTCACCTATCGTGTGTTCATTGTCTTCAGGCTGACCAGTCAACTCCCCGGACACTCCCTCACCACCTTCTTCCACACCTACAAGGAAGAAGGGAGAAGACGTGAACACTTGCTCACAGGTATACACCACATGCTCACAAAGAGTATCAGTCGAAGCCGCCTGCAAATACGAAGGAAGACCATGGTCACGCCCTCCTTCACATTAATCACATCGCCTTCAACATCAAAATAGACCTCCGTATCGCCGTCCACATCCACATCCACTACAAATACACATACACATCAACATCCACATGCACACACACACACACATACACATACACATTCACATACACATCGCCAACTCATCTAACGTCTTCAAACCAGACACAATTCCCTCACATCCACTCAACAATCTCACTCGAACATCCACGAAGATCACACAGACACACACACACACAAACACACACAGTCACACTCACACAGTCACACACACACAACCACAATCACAAACAGATTCAGACACAGACAGACACATACACATATTAGTGAAACACTCGCCCTGACCAAATCAACATCAAATGCACACACTCTCTCACACTAACTGGAAAGCGAACAAACCAACTGACACAATGCAACACTCGACGAGCAGAATGGAAGCCGACACTCACCTATCGTGTGTTCATTGTCTTCAGGCTGACCAGTCAACTCCCCGGACACTCCCTCACCACCTTCTTCGACACCTACAAGGAAGAAGGGAGAAGACGTGAACACTTGCTCACAGGTATACACCACATGCTCACAAAGAGTATCAGTCGAAGCCGCCTGCAAATACGAAGGAAGACCATGGTCACGCCCTCCTTCACATTAATCACATCGCCTTCAACATCAAAATAGACCTCCGTATCGCCGTCCACATCCACATCCACTACAAATACACATACACATCAACATCCACATGCACACACACACACACATACACATACACATTCACATACACATCGCCAACTCATCTAACGTCTTCAAACCAGACACAATTCGTTCACATCCACTCAACAATCTCACTCGAACATCCACGAAGATCACACACACACACACAAACACACACAGTCACACTCACACAGTCACACACACACAGTCAAACACACACAACCACAATCACAAACAGATTCAGACACAGACAGGCACATACACATTTTTTTCTTTCTTTATTTTCTTTCTTTATTTACAGCTTGATTCCACACTGTATTTTCGGTACAAGTATGGAATTTTCAGCATGGATATCGGTAGCCCAAATTCTGCATGCCGACCATAGATATCAGATGTGCGTCGGTGCGGGCTCGAACCCCGGACCATGTGCATGGTCGTCGAGAGTCCTAACCACTGTGCCACCGACTCTGCCTCTCTTTACTACACTTTTTCTTTCCTTATGCGCATTTTTTATTGAATTTTTTTCCCGTTGAATATTTTATTTTTTCTCCTTTCTTTTTTTCTCTTTGTTTTGCTCAATCGGCTATATTTTCTTTTCATTCTTTTCTCTGTTTGTTTTTGATCTTCTCGTTGGTTTTTTTATGTGCCTCATCGTTTGTTTTTTTTCATCCGCTTATTTTTATTTATGTTTGCTATTCCTACCGCAATTTATTTTGTTTGGTTCTTGCTCTCGATTCCTCTGTTTATCTATCTACCTACATGTCATCATTTTTTGCCTTTCCTAAATGGCATGTATTGACGTATATCTTTAGTTTTTACGCGAATTCCTGCCTATTGCGTTTTCGTGTTTAGTATTAGGCAGGTTTCTCTCATTATATCACTAATGCAACAACAAAGTAATAAATAGTGGATCACAATCTTTTGAAGCGATGAACCCAATGGTACTTTACGCTCACTAATTGGAAAAGCGATGTTGATTTCTGAACTCTGAAGAACAGCCATAGCCTTCTTCTTTTGCCAACGCTGTTATGTCGACTTCATTATTGAATCTTTAATGATTTTTAATATTTTTTTCCCTGAACAGTTTTCACACAGCTCTAGATTTTTGAGTCCACAGTGATTCTTAGTTTTTGATTTGCAATACATAGCAGACCGCTTACTCCTCATGGCTGATATTACTGTGCATTGGATTTAAAAGCCTCATTATATAAAGTTAAATACACCCATACGCATATAAATATATATCCGTTAACTGCTCATGAACTCTTCATGTACGTAACGTAGTGCATTGCTTCAGAGTATAGTGGGATTACATTTAAAATATATATATAAATAAGTATCTGCTCGAGTAATTCATTTGTTTTTTGTATTTCCACTTTGTTTTGTGATTTCTTTATAACAATTGAAAATATATACTCTATTCTCAAAACAAGTAGTTTGACATACATCTTTCTCGTAGTATTTTCAATTCTTCTCGTAATTCAAAAATTGTATTGTTAGCGCCTCGAAGATATGCTGAAATTAAATTTTGTAAATGCATCATTAGTCAACTAATATTTGAATACAATATTTTCTGTCAAAAATGTTTCAATATGTACAATATTCAAGTATTTATACAAGTAAGTTCTACCACAATTTTACCCATAGTAAATCAGTTCTTACAGGATACAGGATTCCAATGTAATGTCTTCTTAAGCATAAACAAACAAGCTAATAGATTTTTACTAATTAACTCCAGTAAAACAAATCATGAGTCGTCAAAATGAGACTCATTTTCAGTTTGCTAATTCATTCAGGTGTCTTTGCATTAAGCTGAAAAAAAAGTGATGGTTGTTACTTTCTGTTGTCATTGCATGACACAATTTATTTTTGGTCTACACTGACTATGATTCATAATAATCAATGCTGGTTCACATTTACTCTGATCTCACTTTTCACTACACAGTTGGATCTAACTAATTGTAACCATTTCATTTGTCTAAAAATTCACTTCATATAAATTATGCCTCATATATATATAGAGAGAGATTGCAATCAAAATGACGTTAATACAGAGTGTTTTAATGAATTTATATAAAAAGGTGTAATGAACTTACGCAAAACATTTCTTATATTAGTCCTGTGTATTAGAGACGTAAGTCTCTTTTTTCTCATTTTATCTGTGACAGAGAGAAATTTTTCTATGAAGATAAAATAAATCAGAGATATTGTGGCAGTCACATTGAATAGGATTAGAACATACTCAATAAAGTAGTCTTAGTGATAAAATCAACAAAAAGAAGAAATATAATCCGCTTCAGACATCTCAAAGAAATAGCATCTATATTTGAAATAAAAGAGAGGAATTAGACTGCATCCATGATTTCTGGTATCATTTCAGGATAGTAAAAATCACAAAGCTAAAAACCGGATTTTTTTTCTACACCATATATCCATCAGTAGTGGGTATTAAGAACTTTGGGAATGCTTAAGACCAAAATCTTCTGGTTACATGATTGACACACTATTAATCAGATATTGGATATGAGCTTAGTAGTATATGACTTTCAGTATATGCCTAATTCCAGAATAGTTCAGTCGACTTCCAATGTCATAAATATGTTCACTTAGAGTTAGTTAGTCACCAGTGGACATTCAATGAGTAATCAGATGTGAAATTTATGAAAGTTGTACCAAAGACTAAGACCGTAGAGCTGCCTAGATCTCAGTGTAACTGTTAGACTGACTGATGTCAGTTAGTAAAGAAGCTAACTTCGAAGACTAAATTATATTTTCTACAAGAATTTAGGTAGAAACCAACTCATCATTCTTAACAGTTTTACTACATTAATTGAATGTATTTAATTGATTGGACTGAAATGCTTGGTCTCAGGTTGACATGTCAGCTTCTTGTGCGGATGATTCGACGATGTCTAGGCATGTAATTAGAATTTAATTAGTGGATGGTGACTAGCATTGGAATTTATCAGGATGCGCATTTCGTCCTATTTAAGACTCATCGTTTGGGTGTACCCTCGTTCCCCAGTGAGTGATGACGTTCCCACCGAGACTCTAACCTAGTGCCCTTAGTTTCAAACCTCAATCAATCGACGGGACAATCTAAAATATTCAATTAAATGATTAACATGACTCGTTCCACAAGAGGTGGCTCTCATGGCCCAAGTGGTCTGGCGGATAACTCTTTGGCGTTTGAAATTAAGGTCACTGGGTTCGATTCTCGGTGGTAACATCACCACTCACTGGGGAATGCAGGTAAATCGAGATGACAAGCTCCAAATAGGATGGAATGTGCGCCCTGGATTCCACTGGTAGTCACCATCCACCAATTAAATTGAATGTATGTTTCAGATTTCTGTATTACTTCAATAAGACAGAATGTAACAGTTGTATCACACTGAATTTAAATCAGGAGTCTCAGAGAACACCTTGTTTCTCCTAAGCATAGAATGATTAACCTTTCTCATTTTTGTGGTTGAAAAATAGACAATCACAAAGGCAACTACTTCTACATAGTGCTCGTTGTTCACTATTCTCTGTTTTGTCTCAAGATGGTACCAGCTCTGATATCTGTGTTACTCTGACAGTTACTAATTCTATTTTATTGGACGATTGAAAATAACCAAAAAAACAGCTTTTTCCAAGTTTTGCATGATTTTAATTCAGATTAATATAACTTTAAATGGAAGTCGTGACCAACAGGGTGCAGCGGGTCTGGTGTGAGGAAAAATACTCGCCGAAGACATTGGCTAACGGTCGCGCTATGTCGTGAATTGGTAGAAGTTAGAATTCAAGGACCATTGGATCGGGTCCCAGTGGCTTAATGGTATACCAGCTAGCCTTGTAACTGGAAGGTCCTGGGTTCGAATCCCAGTGGGTGCGTACTGCTGAAGAGTCCCAAACTAGGACGAAACAGCTGTCCAGTACTTCCAGGTTTTCCAATGGTTCCCTAACTAATGTCAACTCATGATGAAATCCTGAAATTTTGAATGGATCATTTATACTTCAATGACCTACTAATATAAAGCAACTCTTGTTTCATTAAAATAATAATAATAGGGATATAGCACTTTATTTAAGTATAATTCCATCATAAGAGGAATGTATCTGTTCAAAGCAGACAGTTACAAACTGTTATTCACTATGGAGGATAGTTTATCACTGTGCTTTTATCAAACGCATTCACGTTATAGTGGAATTACAACTCATTTCTCTTCGACAAACACTTTCATCAATAAAAAAGAGAGAAAAGCTCAACAGTCTAACTTCATTTAAATGTTTCAGGAATTTTCATCCCTAACGTATTTGTTGGAATAATGGTGTTACTAGATTAAAGACACAAAGTGTTAAACGCCATTTCATCCTGCATGAAACAATAAAAAGCAGCACACCTTTGATTTTGGTGAATTTCACTTGTAGTATTTTTGAAGTATTCCTTAATTTATCGGTTTCTTCATCCACTAGAATTATAAAAATGAAGTATAACGAATATCAGTTGGACATTAAAAGGTTTATTCAATTTAATTTGAAAGTGTTACTCCTTTTGGAAGTAAAGTTACGGGATTCATTTTGAGCAACAATATATCTGAAAATCTTAATTATATGTAAGTGGACTACAGCAAACAGTGTAGCTATGATGTTCTTAGGATAAATTGTTTTAAGTCTTCCACTACAATCTGTATGATATAGTTTATTTACTAAGCTAACTGACATGGCATTTTAATATGCTGTGATCCCTTTTATTTGTATCCATATTAGATATAAGTCGGGTTTCGACAATGAGCGATTCAAGCTACCGATTTATAAAGGATATGATTAACTCCAAGGACATAAAAACACCTCAACGATGTTTGCAAATAAGTGAGAAACCTTAGCATTCTGTCAGCCGATTGCGTTAACACTTAACACCCGCTTCGATTACTTGATTAACAATAGGAAAGCGAATGATTCCTCCTATTCATCGTTAAAATTCACTTCTTTTGTTACCTGCGTTAATTCTGCAACTAAGATCAAATTTATCGTGCATATCTTCATCATTATTATTATATTTATTATTGTTCCCTTGCGTTTCTAGTGGAACATAGAGCTTCAACTCCACGTCGCCACTTGATTCTGTCTTCTGCTATACTTTCCACATGCATCCATCTTATTCCATACTCTTTCAAATCCTCTTCACACCACCACCTCCATGTCACCCTTGCACCGACGACCCACTCGCCACTTCCCTTACGCCTGGTTCCACTCGAGCAATGGCCCGACGCCCTCGCGATGTCACCCAGCAGCCTCCTCAGCGAGCGAGTGTCCAATGTGTCATCTCCACTTTCTCCTGCATATTTGTTGGCTGGCGATTGATTGGTTCTTGTTTTGTTTGTGTGTTCCCATAGTTAGGTTCTTGTTTGTGATTCTTTCCGGCCCGGCCATCTGATCTTCAGTATAGAGCCGGCGAAGACAGTTGTTGGTTGATGAAGGTCTGCAACAGGCTGTTGGAAATACCTGTTCTTTGTGACCCGCCTGCCAAGTTTCTGATCCGTGTAGAAGGACTGACTGACTTGACGTTTGTATTGAAAATGAGATCGAATTTTGTTGTTGATGCTGAGTGACAGCGGAAGATTTCCATATTGGTTTCAGTTGGTTGATGAATGTGTTTCTCGCTCGCCTTCCTGATTGTCGCTCGATTTGACATCTTCGTCCGTTCCGACTGCCTGTAGTTGAGACAATGGTCCCTAGATAAGCGAGTGAATGAAATAACCTCTTTATCTTATCTTCACATCCATTTAAAAGTTATCTCTGAATTGTGGTAATCTTTCCGCTGCTCCGAATATAAAAAGAGACACACCCAAAATTATCTGTTCCATTGTATTCACACAAGCCACAAGAAATATATATATATCTTAGCGTCTTAGTATATGTAAATGTAAATGTCTGATATATTTTAGTCAATGAAATCTACAACAGTTAGTCTAAGCCACGTAGGAAGATGTAGACTTCCAGGCTGGGGTCCTCGGAACGGTGAAAACCAATGGCTGGAAACAATTGGTGACATAGCCCAAAATCGTTCTCAATGACCCAGATGGATCCACTCCTTGTGACTTTGATTTCCAATGAAACTATATTAATCTTCGTTATTACTATTCCTTTGTCTCACACCTCTGTTTACTGTTTGTATCATGCATTTCTTGTACTTTCTTCTCTTTCTTTGTGTGCTACAAGGAGTATGGCGACTTGAACTGCTGCACATCGGTGCAAAGTTCTATGTCAAAAACAGACAAACAGTCCTCCTCACTTAGTCGTATGCAATATCTGACGATGACATAAAGATAATCCAAAAAATATCTACCAGGGCTAGTAATAATGGATTTTATTTGATTCCACAACTCAATAATGCACATTTGCCATATTATGAACGCAATGCTACTCAGGTCGTTGCCATACTATGCACATACCCCTTCACTATTATTATTATTATTCCTTTGGGTTCCGAGTGAAACACAGGACGTCAGATACACGTCTCTGTTTCATCCTGTTTGCTTCAGCCTTTTTCAACTGGTTCTTCGATTACGCACAATCTCTCATCTCACACGACCTCCTTTTTGTCAACCTTTGACGTCCAACTCACCGTTCCACGCATAGCTTCAACTCCAGAGATGGCGTGATGTGCGAATTCATCCAATGACCTTCTCATCATGTTTCTGATTCAACTCTTTTGTCTTCAGTATACACTTTTAGTCAATAGGCTCATGATTGGTTCGTCCTCAGAGTTTTTGTTTGCTCCGATTTGATCTTATTAACTCTAAGATTCCATTTGAGGGCATAGATATCATCATACACTAATCTGGTATAAAATAAATTCAAATGAGACAAATTTACATGTGAATGGTTATCAATGAGTTTTAAACAGTTCACATATTGTGAATAGTTTAATTAATTCAACATGAATGGATTCTGTGTTATCACTTACCTTCACTTGGATGTATTTCCCATTCTGCTTGGTGCATTAAATTGTTTTTCTCATCCATTTCAGCTACAAGAAAAAGTAAAATGAAGGCTATATTTATTATCCAAAATGGAATTTTTTTTACATTCATACACACACCAAAACTTTGAATCTTTAGGGATAATTATTAAATTTTTCTTTTAAAGCAAGGATATATATATGATAATGAATTATGCAGCAATTCACTGGCTGATAGTGACCCCTCACAGTATACTTGAAGACAAAATAAACCGCTTATTCTTTTGCAGTAAATTTGTCATGCTAACGTTGGTATTTTACAGAATATGGTATGGGAGACATGAGTAGACAAATAACCTGACTCAGACTGATGATGTTCGTGTCCGATACTTGTTCACTGTCAAATAGACCACATAATATCAAACCATATGCTCTCTCTACTGACTACTTTAAATACTGTATTTTTATCCATGAAATCATTGAATGCCATTTGAAAAGCATTAGATGCTTTCTATTTTCCACTTATCATTATTTGCTTTACTAAAATGAAGTAGTTGGTCTCCATATTTGTTCGCTTATATTATGATGAGATGCCATTATTAATTAGTAGTAGGAGTGTTATTCTATCCTCTGAAGTAATGAATATATTGCTGCTGATCAAAATCACTTTAATACTTTAAAGTCCTAAATGCTTTTGCTTGTCACACAAAATCGAAGATTTACAAGAGAAAAGCGACAAACTGGTCGAAGAAGCAGCAAAGACAGGACTCCAAGTGAACATAGACAACAAGAAAGGTCAAGAAAATAACCAACAGCAGCAACATCCAGCGCCAATCACCATCAACAGGAGGGATTTGAAAGAAGTTACTTCATTCACTTATCTAGGGAGCATTGTCTCAACTACAAACAAGAATCGATCGCCGAACAAATATGCAGGAGAAAGTGGAGATGACACATTGGACACTCGCTCGCTGAGGAGGCCGCTGGGTGACATCGCGAGGGCGTCAGGCCATTGCTCGAGTGGAACCAGGCGTAAGGGAAGTGGCGAGTGGGACGTCGGTACAAGGGTGACATGGAGGAGATCGTGTGAAGGGGAGTTGGAACAGTATGGACTAACATGGATGAAGGTGGAAAGCATGGAAGAAGACAGAATCAAGTGGCGACGTGGAGTTGAAGCTCTATGTTCCATTGGGAACCCAAGGGAACAATAACAACAATTGCTAATTGGGATAGCCTGAAAAATAATTCGATGTAACCACGTCCACATTGCAATACACACTGAAATGTTTTTATAGCGCATAAATATCATCATTATTCATTTCTATCAGTGTGCATTAAGCGTGTGAGTACTTTAAAATCGACTGAAGACAATAGACAATGGACAACCTTTCAATTTCTCTTCTGCTACATGGGATTCGTTGAATTCAAGTTTCAATGTCTCTAATTCTGTTTGAATAGCTTCTACAAAATAAATTATAAGAAGAAGCTCTCATGCTCGATTGCAAATTTTAGTGTTAAAAATTAATTATTATTATATATCATGGAATTGATCATGTATTATTTATTACTATATATATATTCCTTGACGTTCTCAGTGGCTTCAAGTTAGAGGCTTGAAGTGTCAGTAGCAATAGTGCTTATTTTTATGGAATAGGATTGCCAGCCTCATGCCCGACCTCCCCTCTTCACTAGTCTTATTACTGGTTTGGCGAGGTAAAGGAGTGCGTCGACCGGGAATCGAACCCCAGACCGTATGAATGGTCGGCGAGCGTTCTAATCGCTCTGCCACCGACACAAAGGACGATGTGAATCAGAGAACCATTTGAATAAAGCATACAGTTATTTGAGGGAATAAACCCTTTTTTTCTATACTTTTCGGCAAATACGATGTTGTAAATAACACCACTGGCTAATATTCAGTCTCTCCTTCCGACTAATGACTTTCACCAAACGTCACGTAACACCATTGATATGGCCTGTTTAAGGACACGACATGTTTTCTGCTTTCGGCTGAGGATCTCATAGGCTTGTGTTTGTGTATTCTGGTAAAATTTGGTTTCCTTTGTTTTATCGGATGATTCCAGCTGATAGCAATGAAACTCGACAACAGCCTTAAAACCTAACAAGTCAACGTTTTAAAATAAAAATGAAATTGGTTATGTAGATCGGGCATTCAAATGTTCAGGTGTTTTCAGAGCTTTTGGTTTTCCTTGTAAATCTTATCTCATTGGATAGTTAACTTCTTCAATGCTGACTTCACTATACAAACTATTCTGAGCTTAGTTAACATTAAATTATTGTTTAAGTTAAAAATGTACAATTTATTGACTAACGTAATTCAATCTCTTCTTGATTTTGTATGAGATTATATCGTATTTTCAAAAATTCAATTTCATCTGCAAAAAGTTTAAAAGGTAAAGTGATTAACAGAATTGATTTAGACTCGACTTTTCCTGTTCAGGATTACAAACAATTTGGGAATCAAACTGATGATGAATATGGGAACACAATCCTGCCATTTATTGAATCACAAGTGAAACCAAGATAGAAGTTTCTCCATGAACGTTAACCGCAAGTTCCCAGTTTCGAACCCCAGTTGGTGCGTACAGCCGATGATCCCCAAACTAGGACGAAACATATGTTCAGTACTGCCTGGTTTTCCATGGTTGTCTAACTGGTATCAATCCGTGATCAGCTCGTAAAAGAAATATATGGCCACCTAAGTTCAGTACTTAAAAAGGACTGTCATTCCCAAAATTATCGTTCCAAAAGTAGCTCTGAGTGATCTTTCACCTGTGTCACTTCAGAAGTATTAAAATGTATTTATTTTTGAGGTTTTATCCTCGGTTCCACTAATGTAAATGCACGTAAATTGCTATGAATGCGAATTCCTCAAAAATCATAAATGAATAAAATGATAGCGTTTGATTTAGATAAATGTGTAAAACTCCACAATGATTTATACTAATTTTACACACGCGAAATGGTTTCACTAGAATTCAGTGTAATTAGTGAGTATTTTGATATCTTCACTGGATTTAGATGACAAATTGTTTTGAAGAAACAATGAAATCTTTGGACTTAGTTTCAAATTGACTTAAGTAATGTTCAACTCCGTAGTAAATTATATTATACTATATATTATAATATAGAGCGAGAATATGCCCTATAGAGAAATTAGAGGAAGCATTTGAGTTCCTTGAAAAGATATTGAAGAGCGATAGGTACCCTCAAAGGTTCATCAACAAGTATGGAAGATCTGAAGTCACAAATGTAAAACAAATCACAGTGGGAAGAAAGCCAGTTTACATTCAGTTTGATTATAAAGTTTGAAACATTGCAGCGATGACCAACAGAAGGCTAAGTACATCACTAGCCATAGCCTATCCTGCAGCTAAGCTCGTTTCCGTCTATCGAACAACTTGCTCTATGGTCCAATCGAAAATCGATAGACATCCTTCTCATGTAATCAACTCCAACTGTATATACAAATTTACATGCATCTCCGGGACCAGTTACATTGGAAGGACTGAAAGAAGGGCATATCTACGATTTTCTCAACATGTACCAAAAAGCTTACGTCCAAAGGGAACAAATGCTTTAAACACTGCTATCACCAGGCATCTCCTCAAGATGCGTCATGAGGTGGACGTTGAAAAGTCGTTCAAAATTATCAATAGGCAAAAGAGCTCAATTCTCCTTAAGTTTGCTGAAGCCATTTCCATCAAGTGTCTGAAACCTGCTTTATGCGTCCAGAAAGAAGCGGTTATCAGTCTTTCTTTGCCCTGGTAACTGGATAATTTCACCTCTTTTTCTTCCGAATGCAAAATGCTAAAAGTTTCCATTGTGTATGATTAATTATTATTGTTTGGAATAGTGTTTGATATTGCATATATATATATATATATATATTCAGTGTATGCGTATATTGATCGATTGGTTTTTGTTTAAAATGAACTCTGTGTGGGTAAGTATGTTAAAATTGTTGTTGTAGTTATATTTAATAATGTCTTTGCGATGTAAGCAGGTGACGAGAAGGCAACGAAATAAAAGATGGTACCATTTTATTCTGCTAAAACTGTAGTTCTTGCTTTGTTCAAATAAAATTAATATGCATCTAAATATTCCCATTATGATAATTACAGAGCACAATTTAGGGGAAAAGGCATTTTCAGTAATCCGTTTCCCGCCTACCCAATCCGCGATCAACCCGTAAAAACATAACTAGCCCTTACAAACCAAACTATAGAAAAACTTAATAAAATTGTTAAGCATAATTATTTGATATCAAAGTGGTTAATAAAATTAAAATTCCAGTACGCCTTAGATTACTGAGTATAACACCAAGACAGTTGCCATCATCTTTTATCAACTCAGTCGATGTGTTTAGAAAACATGTTTCTTTCTGGTCACTGTCCTTCCCATGGCCATCACCCTCAACCTAGAATGATTTTCTTTCCTAATGACACCTGATAACTGTACATATTATCTTCAGTTGTGCTGTTAGACTTACTGTCACTGTCATTATCAAACTTTGTGACAGTTGCATACAACAATCTTGTTTTTTAGGAGAAATGTTAAAACTGAAAATTCTGTTGTCTAGTTGATATGGTATAATAGTTACTTTCCTCATATATCCCTGAAAATAATCATAATGTGTTCACACATTCACAATGATTGACTATGTAAGTTATACAAGCACATACATGTATTTGTCTTTGTAGTTATTTCTATGATACAGCGCTGACATCAGTAAGAAGAACTATTGGTGAAGCAACAGAGATTACTAGAAAGCTGTCTCATCTTAGTTAGGGACTACCAAACAGTACGTACCTACCAGGGTTCGGACTTAAAAGGTTACGGTTACAAGACGATCTCGTAAACCATTTAGCCACCAGGACCCTATCCTATGGTCTATGAATGCCAACCCCTGCCAATTCGCAATCGCAAACAAGCATTACGGGCTAGTAACTGTTCTCTTGCTCAACTTGTTAGACTAGCAATTCAGGCTTCTTTTTCTTCTATGCAGCCAGTCTCCAGTCAGCTTTAGATTAATTAGCAAGAGTCTCAAACTATGGCCATCCAGTATTCTCGGGTTTTCTAATGGTTTCCTTAGTGATGTGGTGGCACCCTCAACGAATCAGTTTCTTCCAAATCAACAACTGATAGTTATGATCACCTTGATTATAATCCACAAATTTATTTGCCTGAAATTTAATTTTGTTAACCACCAACTGCGTATTGAATATCCATGCTGAGTAATTTTATTATATAATTGTAAAGTCTGTTGTTGAATTACTAAAAATACATTTCTGCGGAAAATTGTGTTCTCCAATATTGATTTGGAGAACTGTAAATGTATTACTAAAAGATTCCTAAGCTTTATCTGTATATTTAATTGAAGTTTAAATTTTCCCGTCGATTGATCGCACTGAAAAGCCTGGTCTCAGGTTGATATGTCGGCTTCCTGTGCAGATGCTTTGACGATGTCTGGTGGCTCTCGTGGCGCAAGTGGTCTAGTGGGCAACGCTTTGGCGTTTGAAACTATGGGCACTAGGTTCGAGCCTCGATGGGAACATCATCACTCACTGGGGAATGCAGGTAAATCTAGATGACGAGTCCCAAATAGGAGGGAATATGCATTCTGGATTCCACTGGTAGTCACCGTCCACCAATTAAATTTATCTGTATAAATATACATATATGCAATCTATGTTGAGTAATAACCACGTTATTCATTCACTGTTACTTGACTGCAACAGCAGATTTATCTTAAATGTAGATGGATTGGAGTATTTTTGAGAATAATGAACAAATTTATAAACAGTCACCAAATGGGGACTAACTGATTAAGCATAAGGAGTGCTTTCACAGTATTTTCAAAGATGGTTAACAACAACGCCATTAAACTCCAGAAAACTTCATTTGAGTACCATATTTATATAACCATGATTCTTAGTTTAACAACACTACTAATTCAACCCTCGGATATCTCTTGTTAAGGAACAATCACTTTGTTATTATTTCAGTTTCCTAATAAGTGCCCTCAATCCTATGTGAGATCATCATCAAAATTACGTTCCCATCAGAAACAAACTAAGCATATATCTGAAAACCTTAACAATGAGGATTTTTACATCAAAGACTCACCTTTACGATACTGCACTCTGCCCAGTAAATCCTTATGCAAAATCATGACTTTCGTACGATTTGAATAAAGTAATTCTATTTCATTTAAAAATAATAAAGGTAGAATTAATTCTTCAATAAAAATAACAAGATCTATATTGTAGCAGAATGGTCGATTGACAGTTGAATAGTTTAATTACTTCTGTAATTACTACCCGTTTCCCTTTAACTTTATATCGTCATCCTAACATTTTGAAATATTAAATATTCCCATGGTAAAATTTAGAATAACACATGTGCAAGCGAACGATAGTGTTTTCAATTAGATCTCATCAGGAGTAACTCTAATATACATAACTTTATAAATAAATATGAAAATATAAACCAGTCATGGTGTTTTTGTCAGTAGGATGTTAAAATTGGGCAATTAGTCATAATAATAATGGTTCTATCACTAAAAAAGATAAGAAAGTGGGGTGAACTTTGACAACAAGAATCGTGAGAAACAGTACTTTTAAACGAACAACTGTTCAGGTAAAAGTAGCCGATAAAAGCTAAGAAAAACAAATGGATTGATTAAGTAATAGGTAAGTAAATAAAATACATTTAAAGATGAGGTAAGACTAAGGGATGATAAGAAAGCGGTTGAAAATATAAGTAAGGGGTGGTGAGGAAGTCATTAGCTGATCAGGTATGAATAGGCTAATGGAGGGATGATGGCTGCACGAACTTCTTTTGAATACATTTTTTTTCTTCACATTCCCCAGTGGAATATAGAGCTTCAAGCTAGAGGCGTGAAGTTTCTGTAGCAGTACTGTTTATTTTACAGGATGGGGTTGTTAGACTCATGCCCAACCTTTTCTCTTTACCAGGATTATTTCTGGCTTAGAGAGGTAAAGGAGTGCGTCCGTGGCCGGGGATCGAACCCCGGACCATGTGCATGATCGGCGAGCGTCCTAACTGCTATTCCACAGACGTCACTCTAAATGCATAGTTTATGCCTAATAGCTTGAATGCCTATCACGTCAGCTATGTTCAGTAGACGAATACGAAGTGTATTGGAAAGATTCTGTGAGATTTGTGAATTACTCTGAATGCCTTTGTTTCCTGAACCAACTATATGACGCCCATCAACTAGATGTGACAAAATGGAACTACACAATGTGTTTTGTTTATCCTTTGCCAAAACACACCGCGACAAGAGATGTTCAGTAGTGATATGTTGACTAAACTGTCTAATAGTACACCCAACATAACTATCACCTCAATTACAGTTGAATTGATTGATACACTTAATACAGTATCCAGCTTTTTTGCGTTCAGATCAAAATATTTGAGTTTTAGTGACTACACATAAATCTATTATCTCTCCCATTTATTTAAATTAACTAAAAGAATAAAGGAATTATTTCAATATTTTGGAAAATAAAATCTAAATATTTACCCGGATCAAAAATCGCCTCCAAGTCAGTTACAGCTTTCGACTTCTCCGATACAACAGCTAAATTAAAGTTAAGGTAAATCGGATGGCAAAATTTACAATTGGTTAAATATAATCATGGTCAATACACATTCGACTTTCTAAGAACTATTATCCTAGATATTAAAAGAAGAAAAAGTTATATTTTCAACACGTTATGTTACCTATTCAGTCACTGGTGAAACTGTTCACTTCACTAAATTTTTCTGGTATACTAAGCATGAATTGACTTCTTAATTAATTAGTAGAAATGTTACGTTATCCATCAGTCTGTTGTGAATCTGTATTTTTATTTAGTTTGAGATTTTTTTTGTATTCCATCACGTTCCTTTTATTTCTCTTGCTTCAAAACAAGTTGTACTTCACAAACGTAATGAGCGCACATACAACGATATCAGGCTTAATTCAGTGGACGATGACTAGCGGTGCAATCCAAGATACGCATTTCGTCCTCTCCGGGACTCTACAACCGGCCACACCTACACCTGCAGTTTCCTGTAATTGTTTGAACCTTAATCCAATATGCCAAATAGGACGTGATATGCATCCTGAATTCCGGTAAAATTATCATCTACCGAATCACATCATGTTAATCCTTAGACAGTGTTGAAGTCTCCGCACTAAGAGCCAACATGTGAATAAAGACTGAACATTTCTGTCTATTACAAACAATCAACGGGAAATATTCCACTAAAGAGATTTCGGATAATGCTTTGAAAGTGTGTTTTTTTCTGATTATTTAAGCATTTAATATGAGTTAATCTATTCTGAAATAAAAAACTCATTCTAAAGCATTCTTAATAAGATGAGTGTCATAAACGATAAATGATTCAACTACAGTCATAATCAAATGTACTGAAGGGTTGTTTAATTTCAGTGTTTTTGACTCTGGTTTAAGATATTTTAGTAACGTTAACGTGATATATATATATATATATATATATATACGCAGAAAGATAATTAATATGTACTCCCGAATGAATTTGATAAAAGGTAAACTTTTTTCCCATAACTACTTACATTCAGCCGCTAATAGACTTTCTTTTGCCGCATCAGCAGAATTCTTTAATCCTAGAAGTTTACAAGAATACATCGTCACATAGGGTTACTAGCATGTGGAGTGGTAATACAAACTTCTTTTCTCCTACTATTTTCATTTGAAAATTAAAGCAATGTAAAGATGTTGTGTGAGGATAATAGCGTTGTAGCCGTAGATAATTCTTCGGAATTATTAGCCACAGCATTCATCACCCAAGATTGGATTCTGATCCCCATTGTTTGAGTCGACATGTTAAGCTGAAACCTCACAGTCAAGTATCCACGCCATGTGATACTCTGTTGTGTTACGTTCGGTTGTTTGTTCACGAGGCCTAGCTAGTTAAGCAGTCAACCTGGCACTACCACTCTGTCCCGAAATATACTTTGTAATTCAGACGTTCAGTTTGGTGTTTTGCTTTGTCTTTGGTCTACGCAAAACGCATACTTTAGAAGTTATGGGTATCAGATCTTGATTTAGTACACATCTTACTCTCCGGCGAATTCCCTACCCTCAGCCTCTAAAGCGTATATGGATAAATTGTCAAGTGACAGAGTAAAAATCTGAAGTCGTTATACCACATCAATTAAATAAAATAGGAAATAAAATCATACAACTTTTGATAAAGCCATTAATAAACCTGACTGAATTAACTAATACATAATAGAAGATACTAAACAATTCAAAACTACAGGCTCCACTCTCAAAATTTTTAAGAGTGATTTTAAATAAATTAATAGTAAAGACTGTATGAAGAAGTACATTGAGAAAAACTACACAATAATTTCATTTCTGAATTGTCTGTGAAAAACACCGTAGCCAGTCACTTAGTCTCACCAGCTAATTGACTTCTGTTATAAATTACTGAAGCGCTAATAAATGTTGTTCTGATGAAACTGAACCTCGTCGAAATCACTGCAGTTTATAAATTCATCACAACTTTTTGCCTTTCATTCAATCCATGAAAGGTATTCTGGCATCCGTATCGACATTAGTTGTATGCTTTCAAACCCTTGAGGTCAGTATATGAAATTGACTTGATGGCAGAGTAAATTCACCACTCTTCGTAAATATTCACCATGAAACTTCAGTAATCCTTCTGCATTTTGTCAGAGAACGCAAGTTTTTCGATGTAGATATTGAAGATGTAGCATGTGAAACGTCCAACATTCTTAAATCAGCAATAATAAGTTCCGCTGTTATTATTATTATTGTTCCCTTGGGTTCCTAGTGGAACATAGAGCTTCAACTCCACGTCGCCACTTGATTCTGTCTTCTGCTGTACTTTCCACATGCATCCATCTTAGTCCATACTCTTCCAACTCCTCTTCACACCATCTCCACCATGTCACCCTTGCACCGACGACCCGCTCGCCACTTCCCTTACGCCTGGTTCCACTCGAGCAATGGCCTGACGCCCTCGCGATGTCACCCAGCAGCCTCCTCAGCGAGCGAGTGTCCAATGTGTCATCTCCACTTTCTCCTGCATATTTGTTGGCTGGCGATTGATTGGTTCTTGTTTTGTTTGTGTGTTCCCATAGTTTGGTGCTTGTTTGTGATTTTTTTCCGGCCCGGCCATCTGATCTTCAGTATAGAGCCGGCGAAGACAGTTGTTGGTTGATGAAGGTCTGCAACAGGCTGTTGGAAATACCTGTTCTTTGTGACCCGCCTGCCAAGTTTCTGATCCGTGTAGAAGGACTGACTGACTTGACGTTTGTATTGAAAATGAGATCGAATTTTGTTGTTGATGCTGAGTGACAGTGGAAGATTTCCAGATTGGTTTCAGTTGGTTGATGAATGTGTTTCTCGCTCGCCTTCCTGATTGTCGCTCGATTTGACATCTCCGTCCGTTCCGACTGCCTGTAGTTGAGACAATGGTCCCTAGATAAGTGAGTGAATGAAGTAACCTTTTTCGAATCCCTCCCGTTGGTGGTGATTGGCGTTGAATGTTGCTTCTGTTGGTTATTTTCATGCCCTTCGTGTTGTCTATGTTCACCTAGAGTCCTGTCTTCGCCGGCTGATTCTTCGACCAGTTTGTCGGTTTTCGCTTGTAAGTCTTCGATTTTGTGTGACATCAAACATAAATCATCCACGCGCGAAATACACGTCATCTAGGTTCTTCGCGTCGGTTAAGGATATCCCAGTCTTCTCGTTTCCCACTCACTGTCTTATGCATAATCCAGTCCACCGCAACTAGGAATATCATTGGTGATAATAAGCACCCTTGTCTGACTTCTGTGTTTACTCCAAATGCCTTGCTGAGTTTTCCGTTGTGGATCACTTGACATGTGCCGTTGTCGTACAGCTGTTGAATAAGGTTGATGAATATTTGGGGTATGCCGTAGTACTCGAGTAATTTCCAAATTACTTCACGATCGACGCTGTCGAAGGCCTTCTCAAAGTCTATAAAGTTGAGGTAGAGGTTTGATTGCCATTCCATGCTTTGTTCGGTGATGATGCAGTTGTGCTGTTATGAAGTCAGGATATCTCCCACTGACTGGTAAAAATACGGTTTTGATTTCACGGTTTTTGCTATAATGGTACTAATCGTTGCCGAGATCAACTTGTTCATCTGTAATATCATTCATTTCATTTTTCATAGCTCCAGTATACCACACTTAACTATCATGATATACAGAAACTTCGCTTGCTTATTTACGACAAGCCATATTGTATATTCCCAAAAATTTTCATGATAATGCCTAAACACCGGTTAGATAGCCTATATTTTGCTTCAGAGTAAATCAATGTTGTCTTCACAACCATCACGTAAACCTTACGAGCCGCATCTGGAATTTGTCAGCTGAAAAGTCAAATGCAAAAGGGCCATGTCTACCGACCCCACTGCTACTTGAGAATAATGATGACAGTTTGTTTTATACCACCATTTTAGAGGAAATTTATTGTAGACGACTTACAGTAAAATGATGAAATCTCTAAGGAACACTCCTGGCCAATAGACCAAGAGCAACTACGTCAATCGGATCTAACATACGCTCAATATAGACAAATGCAACGATATTACATGTACATAACGGTATCAGTCAAAACGTCGAGAGCTGAGGCCTATATTGTGACCACTATAATGCGTACGAACTCACTTAGTGAAGGTAGAATACACTAAAGCGTGGTCACAATCCAAATAAGTAGTGCAGAAATATAAACAGTTTTTAGGAATCTGCTGAATCGGCAAGTTAATTTAACGTAGAATATATGAGTCAGAGCCAGTATGAAATGATAACACCAGGTAACACGACGATGCAAGTTTGTAGAAGTAAGTGGTTATCCAACTAGATCTACTAAAGACGGCCTCTATTATTGCAAATGATGCCAATAATAAGAATCTCCGCTCTTATTTCAGTAGAAAAAACACCATATTTTGTATAATAAATAAATAGAAACAGTCTTAAATACGTCTGTGTATACCGTAGCAACCACAGTTTTCACTAGTTTTTTTAAAATATAACAAAGAATAAATAAATGCACCCATTTCTTACTTCTGTAATTCGACCAATCTTGTAAGTTCTTTTCGGTGATCGATATCATATCTAATGGGGAAAAATAAGTTGTTTACAAATGACATATGTATATGCTTTGGTTTTATCTTAGTGCATGTTAAAATGAAAATCTGAGCATTTCAAAATAGACATTCTGTATTTAAATGAGACATACACAGCTCGTAGTCTGATATGATCAACCGAAAGATGTAAGGCTGGTGATCCGGAAAAGATAGAAGCACCATAAATGAGGTTAGTCATAAACCTGAAATTCTGTCAGATAGATAATGGCGAACAGTCCAAGTCTTTGATGCATATCTACGTCCCAACTTCTCAGTGTGATATCTTGTTCATCAGAATGCTAAAGGCAATATTCTACTATCTGCAACATCTACAAATACATATATATGTATACATATACATATATATACTCTTATAGAGCTAAGCATATGATCCTTATCAGTAAGATATTTTCTAGAAGTGAACGAGATCATCTTCCAATATTGTTGTCAGAAGAAGAAATTAGAGGAAGGAATAGCTGAACTCTTCAGCACCTTGTTCTTACACATCATTCCTCATCTACACAGAAACTTTAAAAGATGATATTTAAAATACGGTCGAGTCGTTTGAAGAATTCCGATAACATTCTGTTGTTATAATTAAGTAAAATCCAAGATGGTGTTCACAATAGGAAGAGGTCTGTCTATTTCTTTTTGCTAGTATCGCCTAATTCCTTGTTTAGACTTGTAGAGTAATTTTGTACATAACCCATCTTCATTCATTCTCCCTCCTTCTAATCATTTATCACTGAGTTTTCAAGTGCTCACTTCTTTTCAGTGCTCCCTTAAGTGAAATCAATCCACGATCAAATTTGAAATACATTCAGTTATTTATTCTCATCTTATCGTTTAGTCTTACATCACTCTAGTAATTAAAAAAGGGTTAATAGTGTCCATGTCTGTATGTCTTCATTTTATTTCACTTCTGGAAAAATCTTACATACTTTTCTACTGTAAATTTTGCCACTAATGTTAAACTAAAATGTTTTTTCCCTTCACGTTCCCCAGTGGAATATAGGGCTCAAGCTAGAGGCGTGAAGTTTCTGTAGCAGTACTGTTTATTTTACAGGATGGGGTTGTTAGACTCATGCCCAACCTTTTCTCTTTACCAGGATTATTTCTGGCTTAGAGAGGTAAAGGAATGCGTCCGTGGCCGGGGATCGAACCTCAGACCATGTGCATGGTTGGCGAGCTCCACAACCGCTATACCACCGACGCACAAATTAAAATTTAGCATCAGTAAACTAAGTAACCATAATCAACAAGAAACTTCACCTGGACACTTAAACAGAATATTTCTCACTTTTGAAACTAAATGAATAATAAAACACTAAACAGTTTTAACGGGAATAAACTATATCTCACTTTTTATTTCGTTGATTTCCACTTGCTTATTTCCTATAGCCGATTTTCTATTATCATTTATTGCTCTCTGAGCATCTATGTGCAGAAATATTCAGAAATTAACAATTAACAAATAAAGAAATTGTTAAGGTTGCCTCGAATAAACTGCTGAAAGTTAACTGAGGACTTCAGTAATTCTTTATTATATTTTTTTTCTTTGAACTAACATCCCTTAAAAAAAATGATCATTGAAAAATTTATTTTCTCTGTGTATTTTCAAATTATTCAAATTAATCAAAAAATACTGGTAGGCATCCAAAGAATATCCTGTTTGTTTGTTTTTTTTATTACCAGAAACTAGGCAGTCAAGAAGATGTCAGTAGCCATAGATTGTGATGGATGACTGACTGCTTAGTGAATTCATTGAAGAGTTTGTAGTTAAATCAGAACACTTTAGAGGTTTAAAACAGTGAAAACATATTCATCAAACTTAGCCTTAAACATTGATATAAGAATAAAACTTGTGCACTGTGGTAGGGTATAATTCCATTATGAGTAAATTTTTGTTTTGATAAAGTCTCACAGTGTTATACAGTAATATTTACTGGTAACGTTTCTATTAGAATGAGACTTAGACTTTATTTCATCTCATCCGTTAACTGTTAAGGCAGGCTTAGTTAAGTGTTAACAAACCGAGCAGTAGCACTAAGTAGCACAAGAAAAGACCTAAATAATGAACTCAAACAGATAGAAGAGGCTTTGGTGTTAAATAACTATCCTTTAAAATTCATTAGGAAGATCGAAAAAGGCCAAACGAAAAATAAAAATAATTGTGAAACTAGTAATAATAACATAAATAAGAGAGAATATAAGTCATCTACAATTATATCATATAAAGAGGGGACATCTGAAACCCTAAGTAGAATTCTAAATAAAGCAGGAATTAGGGTGGCATTTAAACCTACAAACTCACTCAGGGACAAGCTGTGTAGGTTACAGGACCCAGTTGACCCAATTAGACAAAATAATACAATTTACAAAATACCCTGCAATGACTTTGAGGTCAACTATATAGGTCAAACTAGTAGATCAGGGGTAGTCAGATCATCAGAGCATAAGAATTTAGCTAAGGTAAGAATGGCTGACTCCGAGAAGATTAGTAATTTAGAAAAAAGCTCAGCAATTGCAATGCATGAGCTAACACACAACCACACAATAGCATGGTGGGAGAGGGTTAAAATTCTAAGAAGGAATATAGGTAGGTGGACAGCGAGAGAGGTTGATTACTGAATCCTGGTTCATCGAGTCTACACCAAACACATGAAATAGAAATGATTCATCACTCATACCCGAAATATGGAAAATACTACTACCAATGAAATCAAGTGAAAAATAATGGAACTATATAAATGAAGTTAGAAGGTCGTGTGATTACCTTGATATGATTATGAGCAATAAATTGTGCTCGAAACGTGGTCATCATTAAACATTACTGTATAACACTGTAAGACTTTATCAAAACAAAAATTTACCGATAATGGAATTAGCCTTAAACACTCCATACCCTTGGAATGATGAGAATATGTCACTTATCTATAGGAGTCTTACAAACTAGGTGTTCACATGTAAAAGAAAAATATCTGACAAGTCATTATGTATTGGACAATGTAATATCAGAATAACGGTCTGTTTCTGACTTTAGCGAACCATGAGGTTTAAGCCATTTGATAAAATAATGTGCATTAAAGCATATGGTATTATTTTCACTCCTAGATCGAGCGCGGTAGAACTGTTTCAATGTGGCCTAGGCTTCAGGCGATGTTTTCTCACCATCTTATTTATACAAAACATTTGAAAGAAATGATAATTTAAATTTAAAAGCCGATGAAGACTTCACAAAAGTCCAGTGCTTTTATTTTTTCTTCTAGTTAAAAATGGCGGGAAAAAAATTTTTTTAACTTTTTATTTTTATGCCTTCCATGCATTATGCCTTCTTTCCTTCCTTGACCAAGGCGAAATTATTATCTCATCGTTATCAGTGACTCTGTTGAGCTATTTCGTCAATTAGTAATATATTTTATTTGAAACGAACTAAACAGATCGAAGAAAAGAAACAATTGAATGTGAAAACATTTATTCTGATGATTCTGTACCCTATTCAACGAACCTTTGGCTTCAAGTATTGTCTCCTCTGATTTGTGGTGTTCAGTCTTCACATTAGATAGTAGACCTGAAACAGAAAATTGTACGCCATATGATTTAATAATGAGACCATTTGTATGCACATGTTTAACTGAAAGCTTATTTAAATAAACAGCTAAGAAGTGAGAAGTAATCAGGCTTGAAGACATCATAAATAGAAAAATAGCTGAAAATCAATTTTCGTCTTTCATGGTATTCCATAGTAAGAATTTATATTCATTTTGTATATATACAAATCAGGTCTGTTTTTGCGATTTTTATAAATGTACGAGAAGTAGCTTAGTCAGAAAGTAAAACGTCTGATTAATACATTAAGTGTCATCCTTGATACTAATAATCAAAATTTGTTATCAGTTGTAAAAAGTTATACACGCAAATAAAGTATAATTATATTTCAATAGTTTACACACCAATAACAAAACTTATCATTGTGTGTAAACTATTGAAATATAATTATACTTTATTTGATCTAATCCACAATGCTCAAACTTTTTACTGATATTAAGTGATAAACTATTCTCATAATGTGTACTGAAAGTCATATATTTTACCGCGAATGGAACAGACAGGAAGAATCGTATCGTATCACCTATAATGGCAACGTCATGAAGGCATTCATCTATCATTCCATGATTAGAAAGCTGAGAATAAACCATATATATGTGTACACCTTCCAACAATGACATGATCTACTAGATAAGTCCTCTTCACCGACTTTTTTCGTCTTCTTCTCTTTACGGGGACTTTCATTAGCTCCTCCCCACCTTCAAGTAGCAAGAAGACACTATTTACAGAACATGCTGAGATATATTTATCTTTGTGCTAGTTATTTGTAATGCTTTAGCCAGTTTTTTTCAAATATCTTAACAGATTCTGTAAACAAAATACAAATCACGTGTTGCAATTCCCTGCGACAGCAGGTTTATGTGTTTAATTTAGTTTAAATTTCTCGTCGACTGATTGTGTAAGAGAGAAACCTTTGGACTTGATTGATTTACCTGCTCCTAGTACATTCTCTTCAACATTGTCTACTGTCATTTTGTTGATGGTGATCAGCATTAGCTTCGTCACCTGTATGCTGATGCATCCACAGTGAGTAATGGTTTCCTTAGGAAGACTGGAACACATTGTGTCAAATGATAAGTTTGATATTATTATTATAACAAACATTCATTAAATACTGGCTACATATATACACAGTCTGATGTAAGTAAACTACAGAAAACACTCTTATTTTTGTCATAAATTAAGGGCGTCATTTAAAAGAAATGTAAAAGAGAACTGATTTATATATATATATATATATATATATATATATATATATATATATATACAGAAGGTAAATACCGCGTATAGAATCCACTTCACTGTTCAATTTCGTCCGCAGCTTTTTGAGATTGTCTTTTTTAGCTTTCTTTACTTTAGTAAAGTAAATACCAAAGAAATTTTATCAAAGATCCGTATAGAGTTTCATAAGTCATCAAGTCAGCATGTGTGTAATTTCTTCAAAACAAATTTAATTCAAACTGATTGGAGAAACAAAATTAGATTCTAAAAAAAATGTAAGGAAAGCATTCCGAAATAATTTACTTGTTTTATTAGTCAACTGTTTTTCAATTTCTCCAATTCTTCGTTTTTTATCTATCATTGCTTCTGCAAATTTATTATTTTTGAGAATAAAGAATGTATAGAGTGAGCATATGAAAATAATCAACTTTTTTTTATAAATTTAAGTAGTTATTTATACATCTAGATAGGGTTATTAGAAGACGAAGATTATGTGAAAAATGTAATGTATTTTCGCCTTACATTTCGAACAATCCTATCACACATTTACTTGTCAAGTCAACATATATGAAAAAATAGGCACAATTAAATTGAACAAAGTGACAAAAATAGGATTTAAGAATAACTAACACAACGTTTGGTAATCCAATCAAATAACGATTACCAAGGTTGGGAGGGAGCTTAAGTTTATGAACAGCTATAGCCTCAGAGTATTTCAGTAAACGCCCTTCACCATTATTTATTTTGCTTACGGCCTTTTTTTGATTTTCCTAATGAATTTTATAGGATATTTATTTGATACCAACGCTACTTCTATCTGTTTTATGTCATCATTTAGGTCGTTTCTTGTACTACTGAGTGCTACTGCTAAGTATATATACCAAACTATTACTTTATGAATTCTACACAGCGTTAAAAGTTTGATTTAATTAATGAATTGGCTGTCTGCAGAATGTTCTGTTAAGATTCCAGACACTGTTTTTTTGATTTTTCTTATGTAACGTAATCAACTACTTTCAATAATATACATGTACCAACCCACAAATTTATTTAGAACAAAATAAGTTAACGTACTCTTTTCTACCGTAAAGTTTGTCCGTAGTTCTTCTCTTCGTGCTCTAGTTTCGTTTATATAATTCTCAATTGAAACTGTAAATAATAATGACAAAACAAGAGGATAAGATGAAATATTAGTTAGAGAATTTTAATGGCAATTACATATATATTGATATGAATTTCAAACAAGGCTATGTATTCATGAATGTGAAATTTATGTGGCAGATATTAAAAAGCTGATACGTTAACTTTCTTTTCAGAATGCTTGGGATATATTGATGTTTCAAGTCATCCAAATGTGTTTAGTAAATGCTACTTTTTCTGTACAGTATAATTCATTTTTGTAAAATATACTTTTAGACAATATTCTGCACCTTCCATCGTTCAAAGGCGAATTTCTACTCTTCAGCATATAGATCTTGACTCTCTTTCATCAATTTGAGTTATGCTCAATCCTGATAGTTATTTTGTACCATTTATTTCTACTAAATTAAAGATAGTTAATAGTCTGATTCTTCTGACAAACGTTAACCAAACATATATGAAATAAAGATTTTTAACGTTTATAGAAATGGTTTGTAATATATTATTACAGCATTTTCACAAAGTACCTCTTAAATTAGACCGTATTTATTTACGTTTTATTATTACTCCCTTGAATTTTTAAGTGGGACATATGGCTTCAGTGGCCTACTTCCACTTTGTCCAGCTCCCTGTAGTCCTCTTTACCTGGCTCCACGATTGCCCATAGTTTGTCATATCCTGATCATACATCCACCTCCATACCAGCCTCGGGCTATAACCCGACTCATCATTTCTCATTCAGGTTCAACTTGAAGTTCTGGTGCTTGCTAACACTCAACGGTCTCCTCAACGTGTTTCCGACCCAGCTCCACTTCACTCAACATATGGTCCAGACAGTATGTTCTCAATTGTTTCGTTACCAGAGTTCTCTGTGGTTGATTCTTTCCATCCGTCTAAACTTTAAAATGAAGCGAAGGCAGCGATTATTGAAAGCCTGCAGCAGACTATTGAAAATGTTTCTCCTGACACGTTCTCTAAGTTTGTGTACTGTATACAATCAGTGACTTGATATCAGTGTTAAAACTCATGCTGAGTTCAGGAGGTTTCCACACAGATTGCAGATTGATGATAGTCCCTGTTACTTTTTTGATCCTACCTTTAATATCCTCATCCGTGCTGTCTATAGTTTAAATGATACTACTCAGGTCAGTGAGAGTGATGACTTCCACTGGATTAGCTCCACTGAAGATGATTGGTGCTTGTTGTTGTTGATTTTGGTCAGATATCTTCATCACCACTGTCTTGTCTATGTGCACATGAAGTCGTGTATTTGCTTTCACCGCTACCATCTTGCTGGCTTTCGCCTGTAGATCTTCGAGTTTTTATGACATCAGGTGTATTTTAAAGTTGACAACGGCACTTATTTATGACAGAAAGTGTTACTCACATTAAAAATTAAGTATACTCAATTGATAGGTATCGAAGGGTCTTAGCAGCAATCTAAATATCTATGATGTGAATTATTATCGAAAGTGAACTGATAAATATGTAAAAATGCTTCTTACTTTGCTCCGATCTCCAATGATCTCGTAAAGCTTTCATTTCCTTTTTCTTTACTTCCAGACTTTCTATTTATTCATTAAAAAGGAAAGTCAATTCAGACAAATTAGTGCTATGATGATTTTCAGGAAGAGATTTAAGTACACATAGAACTCAGAAAATGTTGTAGTAATGGTGATACAACATGAATGTAAACGGATTATTTGATGATGACAGCTTATAAGTATCTTTCAAACAGAGCCTGTATTATATGAGTTTAGAAAGGACATATATTTTTGGCGTTACCATTATAAGTATATGAAAGTACTAAAGGACATCTGTGAAGGTGGGTATAATCATAATAACGAAGCTGTGAGTTGTAACCTTTCAATTCTAAAACTTATCATTGATTTTTCTTTATTTTGCTTCCTTAACCAAAATTTCTACCAGTTAATTCTGTTTATTTTCAATAAAAATTTCAATTTCATGTCTTCATTTTCCATAAATTTTTCTCCTAATATGTATCAATTTAGAGAAGAATCATGTGTGCTTGACAGATTCGTAATCATTGAGGATAATCTGTTAACCAAATTTGTGCCTTTTACATCAAATTTAGTAGCCATTAATTGCAAATTATTTCATACTCAGTGAAATGTTAACAAATAGAGAAATAGTGGTGACCACAACAAGAACTAAAGCAAACTCTTAACAACTTGGACAAAAAACCGACTGAACAAACTTCTCATTTAAAATTAAAAATAATTACAAACTAACTGATTCACCTTGAAGCTTTGCTAATTTCAACTCATCACGTTGTATGTCAAAATCTGTTATTGCGTTGTATTCTTCACCTGAAATTGACAAAAAAAAAGGAAGACTAGTAATTATACGTATTTAAACTTCAAACTTCACTACCAGATTCACAGGCGACACATCTCTTTTCATATTCAGACAATCGGATTATGGTGGTATGTTCGACTACAAGGTAGACTTTTTTTTCAATAAAACTAGATCGGTAAAACCAAATAGCTGTAGAAAAAGGTCACTAGATAATCACTACATCTTACTATCGACCGTTTCGAGGATATGCTCAAAGTCTTGTGTAGCTTATCTGTATGACCAATATTTGCATAAAATAATATATATATGTTTTACATAATATATTTACAGTAAAATAAGCCTGCTAACTCATCCAAGAAGACATTTCAGATTTTGGACCTTGATTATTATTGCTCCACCACTATCAGGTTATGTTTTTGACTGTATAATTCGGAATAAATTTCACAATGTTTTGATCGAATGCATGGATTTATGTGATGTAACAGGTGAACAGATAAGATTGATTGCTCACTGATAACAATGACCAGAGATAACTTTATACTACAAAAATTTCAAATGCATATATCGTGATATTCACACCTGGAAAGTGCATGTCAGCGTATGTAACTCGTCATCTCAAAATGGTCAACTCGATTCCTTACGATCTCACTGCTGCGTAGTTTGAACTAGACTCAGGACTGTAATTCTGCCCAGTAGCCCTTAGTTACTTAGGTTTTACAATGCGTTAAAGTCAAGTGACTTTACAAATGAGCCATTGTTATACAAATTAACTCATTTCACAAAATGACTCCTATTCTGAAGCTATCATCACACACTCAATTAAAATCTAACCATAAAATTGCAAAAAAGAGCTACATTTGTAATTCGAAAGTTATTCATCAGGAGTATTTGACATGGGTGTCTTACTAAGTAGCATATGTTTAAATCTAGACAAGTATTTTTTTTCCTTCACGTTCCCAGTGGAACATAGGCCTCAAGCTAGAGGCTTGAAAATTCCGTAGCAGTGTTGATTTTTACAGGATGGGGTTGCTAGACTCATGCCCAACCTTTTCTCTTTACCAGTCTCACTACTGCCTTAATGAGGTAAAGGAGTGCGCCGTCCGGGGCTCGAACCCCGGACCATGTGCATGGTCGGCGAGCGTCTTAACCGTTGTGCCACCGATAAGTATTTGCTTACACCCAAATGACAATATCAGTCTTAAATATGACTTTATTAAAAGTGATGCTATGGAACTAAAAGTGTTGATTTCGCTTTGAATATCTTCCCGTACTCAATACATACATACACACATACATACTCAAATTGTCATTGGTCTGTTCCGGTCACTCAGAAGATGACGACGAGCACATCGAAGGTGTGGCTATCGTGATGTTACCAAGGGCAACGATAGCCATTATACAATCGGAGGCGATCTCACCTAGGATAATGATCGCCAGATTCAATTCAACAGGAAGGAAAGCGACAATCATACAACGCTATGCACCCACAAACAACCCAGACCTCGAAAAGAACGGAGCGTTCTACAGACAAATACAGGTAACAATGGACAATACTCTAGCCGTTGACATTAAAATCCTAGTGGGTGACATGAACGTTGAACTGGGACCAGACAACACAGGGAGACAACTCATAATGGGTACAGAAGCACTCGGAGAGATGAATGAAAATGGAGATTTCTTCACTGACTTCTGCGCATTCAGTGAACCAGTGATTGGTGGCAGCGTTTACAAACACAAGGATATCCACAAGGCTACATGAGTGTCATCAAATGGGCGAACCAAAAACCAAAATGACTTCATCTGAATCTCAAGGAAGTGGAGACGCAGCTTTTTGGATACAGTAGTAAGAAGAGGATCAGATGTCTGGTGCGGCATTATGATACTGTCCATCCCAAGCAAAATACTAGGCCGCATCAACCTGGAGATAGCCAATCATGCCCTGGATGAAAAACTTCTGCCAGAACAGGCTGGATTCAGGAGAAATAAGTCATGCATCGATCACATCGCCACACTATGGATCATCATTGAACAGAGCTTGGAATGGCAGTCATCTCTCTACCTCACTCAACTTCATTTACTTTGAAAAAGCCTTCAACAGCGTTTGTCGAAAGGTGATTTGGTAGCTACTTTGCCACTACGAGGTGCCGCCAACAATCATACGTCTCACCCAACAGTTGTACGACAATGCCGCATGCCAAGTAATCCGCAACGCGAAACTCACGGAATCCTTCGAAGTGAAGACCGGATTAAGACAAGGTTGCCCACTGCTATCTCCAATGATTCTCCGATTGTGGGCGGTAAGCTGGACAATATGATAGACAGTGGCGGGCAATGAGGAAACAGGCATAAAATGGACCCACACGAAAAATTTGAAGAGTCTGGACTTCGCCAAGGGTATATGTCTGGTTTCTCACAAACTGGAAGATATATTAGTGAAAAACAACAAATTGGCAGAAGAAGCATCATAGATACGAAGGACTTCAGGTGAACAAAGAGAAAACAGAGGTAGGTGACGAAGATTCCTGGCCAACACCAACAGCAACAACAACAGACAACAATCGGCAAAAATGGGAGAAATCTGAAAGTGGTGACATCCTTCATCTACCCACCTGGGAAGCATCGTTTCAATTACAGGCGGATGGAACTGATGAGAATATCAAAGAGAGGATCGGGAAAGCAAGGCATGTTTTCATTTCTCTCAAGTCTGTGTGGCAGTCAACAGCACACAACATGAACAGTAAGATCCATATTTTTGACTTCCATGTGAAGTCATTGCTACTTAATGGATTAGAAACTGGGCGCGTCATGAACAGCATCTCAAACAAACTACAGACCTGTCTGTCTGTCTTCGCTGAATACCACTTAAGATCAGATAGCCGGCAGTAACCTATTTGCAACAAATATGCAGGAAGAAATGTAGGTGGATTGGCCATACTCTGAGAAAACCACCAAGTGACCTCATGACATGACACACAATCAATCAACTGGAACCCGAACGGGAAGCAATGAGTCGGTAATCAGTGCGAGGATGATATGGTGAAGGCCATATGAGCAGAAGATGAAAGCATGTGGGCAGACGTGGAGCCAGGTGAAAACGTTGGCAGAGAACCGAATGCAATGGAGACGCTCGGTTGAATTCTTATGTTCCTCTAGGAATTAAAGGTAACAATAAAATTAATACAAATGATCATGTGAAAGTTAACAATAATAAATAGCAAATTGTACACCTACCATATTGCTTATCTAGGATTCGCTGCAATTCTTCATAGCTTGCCTTTTTCCCATCGTAATCAACTAAACAAGAATAAATCATCCATTGGTACACAGATAGATGGAAAGGCAAAACAGTATTGTCTACCTCTGTTTTATTGTTTCGCGATAGTTTTCGGTTAGTTAATGTTAGCTCTACTACAATTATTCAACAGATGTTTGTTTTCAAATACTGAATGTGTAAACTGCATTAACAAAAATACCATCAAATGAAGAGAGAATCAACGACAGTTTCATCTTAATTTACAGCGCTTAGGCACTACACACTTCTTACTGTATTTAAGAATCATTTAAATATTTCTCATCATACTGATGAAAATTAGATGAGAATGAAGCATGATGCAAACATGTAGGGACTGAACTGCAACAACTAGAAAACGAATCGTTCTGATAAGGTCATTTTTTATCATTTCTGGCTAGTTATATTTAAGTAGTACACATGTTTTGATCAAATAAATAAACTTCCAAGTATTGGTTTTGTAGGGGTTTTGTTTGATGGGATGGAAAATTTCATGATGAGCTGATATTAGTTAGAGAACCACTGGAAAACCTGGGAGTATATGTTTCGTCCTAGTTTGGCTCAATGGTCTACGAGCTCACCTTGTAACCAGAATGCCCTACATTCGATTCCGGCAGGTGGGTACTGATGAAGAGTTCCCAACTAGGACGAAACAGTTGTCTAGTATTCGCTGCAGGTTTTCCATGAAATGTGAGTGTTATTCGAAGTAGTTTATACACTTTTTCTCATCACACCGACTAAGGGATAGCCAAAAGTTAAACAAACCTCTTCAGAATTTAACCTTCGTCTAATCATAGAAGCTAATCACTGAACTACCAAGTAACCAGATAGTGCATAGTTACATGCATCAAAAAACCAATAACTTTGAAATTTCAATCTGGATTTCTCACAGACTGTGTTCATTAATTCATAATAAACGAAACTAAAATCTAAGTTTATATTATGTTTACTTATTACTAGAAAACCTGACTTCTCTCCATTAATCAACCTAACCTGTAATGTCAAGATCATATTGTATACTTCTGAATGATTTCAGTGATTCATCAAACTAGCGAAATGTCTATTTTCAACCACTTCGTTATGACTAACTAGCACAGTTGGTTAGCATGAGTATTTACCGTCCAGTCACATCGTTGTTTTTTTTAATTTATTGCAGAAAATTCATTTATTTTACCAGCCTTCATATATGATCTCTCTTCTTAGTAGAACATAAATATGTTTACAGAAATTTTGAACTGTATTCACTGGGTTATATTTCCATCTACACTACTAAAGTGTACAATAATCCCCCTTACTCTTCTCTATTTTCTCAAATTCCTGTCTACTTCATTTTGTCTTCCTACAACATTTCTTTTTTGAAAAATACTTTACAACTTGCACTAATCACTGTGATACAATAAACATGCATTAATATCTCAATCTTAAGAGTAAATTATAGTATTCACTCTATCATTGTAAAAATCTTCCACATCTCTCCCTTAATACTTTAAAATAAACCAAAATTGAAAGTTCCGCCTTGATTAATTAGATGTTTATGTGTTTAAGTAAAAACCTGTATTATTGTATTTATGACTCTACTGATCACTGAGAAGTAGTGTACTGTGAAATACCACAATCTGCATAATTTTCAAAGTTTTTTTAATTGAATGAACTGAAGTCAAGATTTTACAGAATAGTTCTAAAATATTTAGGCGCTGAGTGAGAAGTAGACGTCTGTAAAACATTATATTTGTTAAATCTCAGTGATATGGAAATGAATAATTCCAACGTTTCGTTCGGCAATCTGGTCCGAACTTCTTCAGGGAAATTAATCGAAATTAACATAACAGAGGGAACATCTCTTGTTTTTAAAAACTTTGTCCAATCATGAATCATGAAACAAGCATTAACAAGTATAATAAACAAAATTGTACGAATAAAACAATTCCAACAGTGGTGTGAGCAGGAGCGTAATTTTGCTCGAAATATTACCAATAACAAAACTTATCATTGTGTGTAAACTATGGAAATATAATTATACTTTATTTAAAACTGTATGAGTTGTGACCAGAATTTGACCTCAGACTTACAAATATTGATCTGCCTTTGTTAAACACTTTAAACACAGTGTGTACGTGTGTGTGCGTATAAACAGTCGTAAAACAATGTCTTAACGTCTCCATAAGTAGATATAGACAGTTGGGAACTTTGACCAAGTATTATTAGTTAGAGATACATATCCATTCTTATTTATTAATCAGGATTTCCTATGCGTCATCTAATATCACACATTCATGTCTGTTCAAACTGTTAGTATCTAGAATTTTATGATTAGACGTATTTTCAAAATTATGGTGTTTGGGATTACAGTTTAGTTGAAGCACCCTGTCAAACTTATTACTTTGTCTTCTTTCTGAAAATTGAGCTGCTTTATTCGACCTACTGAAGTTGTCAGGTGACTGGACAGCTACGGATTTAGGATACGCATTCTGTTTCAGACAACGGAGAGTGGAAACACAATGATTGTGCCAATTACATAGTTTCTCTGTTAATTTAATTCGATTGCAAAATAAATCAAATGAACTGTAGTCAAGATTTGACAGAATAGTTCTAAAATATTTGGGCGCCGAGTGAGAAGTAGACATTTGCAAAAAATTATGTCTACTTATGGAGACGTTAAGACATTGTTTTACGACTGTTTATACGCACACACACGTACACACTGTGTTTAAAGTGTTTAACAAAGGCAGATCAATATTTGTAAGTCTGAGGTCAAATTTTGATCACAACTCATACAATTTTGTTTATTATACTTGTTAATGCCTGTTTCATGATTCATGATTGGACAAAGTTTTTAAAAACAAGAGATGTTCCCTTTATATATAAACCTCTGTTATGTTAATTTCGATTAATTTCCCTGAAGAAGTTCGGACCAGATTGCCGAACGAAACGTTGGAATTATTCATTTCAATATCACTGAGATTTAACAAATATAATTTTTTACAAGTGTTTTTTTTAATCTACTGCTTTCCAAGTGGAAACTTAGGCTTCAAGCGCTTAAAAGTTTCAGTAGCAGTGGTGTCTTTTACAGGATAAGTTTACCAGTCTGACGCCCAGTATTACTTTTTTACCAGACTGACTACCAGCTAAAAGAGAGTTTAGAGTGTGTTGGCCTAGGGTTATACCCCGAACTATATGCATGGCTGGCGAGTATTCTACCCCCGATCCATTGATGCATAAATTATCACTGAAGTCTCCATAGTTCCAATAGATCCACGTCATCTCCGTATGAAAGTTTTCTTTCTGTAAAAAGGGAAATATTATACATTCCTTCTGGGATTTCTTTTTTACCCAGAAGATGACTTCTCAAATACTCGTAGTTAATTTTCCAGTTAGATGAAAAATATTCACTTCTACTTCTTTCTTTCTTGGTTTATTTTGAAGTTCTATGTTTAACAATTCTAGTTTCAGTTGAAACACACAAATATCCATAAAAAAAGTCCATCTCTACCAATTTACACATAAAGTAATAAGTGAACATGAGGTTTTCAGTTTTTTTTTCAGTTATATCGTAATCAGTTAATCAAAACTTTTAATACAAGACCTACCATGTGCATATTTGTATTGTATTGTAGCTTCTCTCAGCTGTTCTTCAATGAACCCTATCAGAGTCAAAATAATTTTTTTTAAATTAGATTATTGTAATACTGATTAATTCATAGGTCGTTGTGTCTTCTAAGTCTGCCGAAGCCTAGGATAGTAGTAGTTGTTGTTGTTCTTGCTGTATACCAATCACGCATACCAGTACAGCTTGCTAGCCAGCAAGAGTGAAGTGATTTGAACACAAGACTGCCATTTATTCCTTTTGGAATCCAAATTATCAGTGGTGTAACCAACTTGTGACTGCCTGTTCAGTGAACTGGTAACACAATAAATCAAATTAGCAATCGACAAGTTAATTTGCAATTTACACAGAAATTACTTAGATTACAAAAGTGCCATCTACTTGATATCATAAATGGTATTCTAGAAACTAAGTATCAGTGTTGATTGATTGATTGACTGATTGATGAGTGGCTAGCCAGAAATTGGACCTTTTGAAATAATTAGGCTGTCTTAGATGAGTTGAACCAGGTACATCGTTGATAACCTTGACCACAAACTAGCAAAATGTCTGCCGGTGTTTAAATCACTTCAATCTTGCTACCAGCAAGCACTCACAGTTTGTGTGAGTTGTATAAAACCGCTCATTTCAACCAACCAGCAGTTTATACTTTTATATATTTGTGCGTGATTTCTTGATTAATGTTTATGATATTAAGAAGGCCACATATTTTGATCTGAGTAACTTCTGATTCCGAAGGAGACTATGGTGAAACCCGTGCGTCAAACTATGTTTATTGCAAATTAACCTGCAGATTATGAATTAGATTTATGGGTTTCCTAGCTTTATATGAACCATTTTAAAAACCTCCCATTTAATAATTCATAGTTGAGTTAGGTTTTATTTCTAGTAGCTATGCGGTTATGACTGATGGGAGTGTTCACACAGTTTTCAGCTATTAGTTAATCAGTTCAACCCTTACTGCACCTACTGTGGCCTCACTGTCAAACAAAATCATGAGACATAACATAATAGGTGTGACTCCTTTGCCAAGCTCGTTCACATTGATGTAGTTGTTAAGGGACATTACAGTTACTTCTTTTCATCTTGAAACAACATCAATAACATTTTGAGAATTTCACAGACTGAAACATCTATGCAGTTTGATGTTCCAAAATACACAGGTAAATATATTTAGTACTCAACAATGAAAAGAGATTTATTATATGAGTAACCTACAATTGTTTATAATCCTGATAACATAATTGAGTTGCTGCTGGAATTCATCAAGTACATCTGCAAATAAGAAAGACACTTTGGAAAATTAATCATTAGTCATCATTTTCGCCTCATCTTATGTCAGTGAATAAAGTCAAGTACTTATACACCTGTTCTATAAGGATGATATTTGATCTACTCATAAGCTCACTCAACTTTGTTGACTTTCTCCAACTAAGCCTAAATAATATAACATAATAGTGCATTCCTAATTGTCGTACACTTCTCTTCTATGAAATATCAGTCTCATTGATCGCATCAGATACTTGAGCAAGTGATTTTTTCCACTGTGAGTTTTCTATGTTGCACCCCATCTGGTCGATCATACATTTCCTTCATTGAACTAATTGATCTGAAGTGTCCAAAAAGATATAATTATTCAAAATCATGCGACAAACGTCATTAACTTCTATTGCATCCTTTAAAGTCTATTCGAAATGACGAATCCAGTGCTTATTGATGACCTTACTTCAGTTGTTCCACTAAATGATGTCAGTGTTCATTTCTCTTTCTCTTATGTACTTCACGTGTTTTTGATCCAACCGGATGTAACTGTCTTTTCATAATAATTTCATAGAATTAGCATATTTTAAAAATTTCCTTGAATCAAACAGCACGTATTAATGTTAAACAAGCAATGAGTTTCGTAACTATTCATGAGAATATTAAAATTTTTAACAGTAATTTTTTTTAATACAAGAAATCTGCTGACTTGAACATCATGGAATGCTCTTTTCTAGGCATCAAAAATCTGAAGAATGTTTACAGAACTAATCTAGATGAAATTAATGACAATAATTTGTCAGAAAACTATCTGTTTGAAAAAAAGAACTTTATGCTCCGATAAACGTAGAATACAAAAATATCTGATTTCGCATTTCGAGAATATCCTGTAAGAAGCAGGACCTCATGAATATTCACGCTATTGTCAGTTGTAGTCCGCGATAACAGAAACAATTTCAAGAAAAAAATTAAACAGTCTCAGGTCTACAGTTAAGTGGTTATGAATTAATTCACTGTTTTCACTAGCCAGGCTGAATCAAATAAATCTAACAAGTAAGGCTTGAAACGATCAATAAGAATGAAACCCTGATGTACTATAAAACTTGGTTATTGAGATAATACCTTACTGTTTCCTCTTTTATCCGCGTGGACACAGTATAGCCCCCATATCAGAGAGGAGCTTTGCATTCTCTATCCTTCTAATGTGGGTCACTAATAACAGTCTTCCCACTTTACAACCTGTTGGATCGAATGACTCCTTAGTTACGTATTATCCAGTTACTTAAGTCAACTCCTGGTTTTCACGAAAATATGAGGGAAACAAAAGGTTATTTAATCCATTACTTACGTTCTTGAATTTCGATTTCACTTTTTATTGTATCTAAAAGGCTGTTAAATTCACGGGTTTTCTCCAATTGAGTAGCATTAGCCTTCGCTATATCTTGGTGAAGCGCAGTAATTTCATCTTCAATTTCTTCATAATTGGCTTAATGTTTACAAGGATTGAAACGATATCCAAACAAAACAGGCAATAATTAAATTCAACAAAATGGCAATGCTTTTATCAAACCAGTACAGAGTAATGATGATTAACGTGACTGTCGCACTCCAGCTAATAATTAGACGACTACCATCAAGACATTTGTGTACTGTATTTGATTATAAGTATCTAGAATAGATTTTCAATGGGTTTGTGGTTCAGAGGTAGAAAACTCCCTGACTACGCACGTGGTCCGGGGTTCAATCACCTGCTAACGCACTCCTAGACATCGCGAACTCAGTAGTAAGGCTGTTAACGATGGAAGCTTGGGTGTGAGTCTAGCGAATCAACCCTAAAGAAATAAAACCACTTCTAATGATAATTCAAATCTCTAGTTTGAAGCACTATGTTCCACTAAGGACATAAAGGAATACAAAAAAAAGCATAGTAGATTTTAAAACAAAAAATACACATTCACCTCTCACTTCAGCACTAAGTTATGCAAGTTCAGGTACTACAACGAATGGTAATATTCTAAAGGCAAACTCTTGCCATTTTTGCGTTTTTGGAATCCCATTTATGTTAGTTTATCGTGGAGTACTAAACCAAGTATGAAAACTTTATCTTTAGAATAAGAGAAGCAAATTCCCAATCAAAACCAACACAGCTTCATTCAACGATAGAATCGTAACAGATGACTGCTTCTGGAAACTGAACAAATTTCTCACATGAAAATCAAAATACTATCGCTGTTCCAGACTATTCTAAGTAAGTATGATTGTCACCACTAATCAGAATTGAGAAAAACTGTATGCTTCAGAAATGACAAATTCAGTAGAACATTTCCAAGTAGATTAAATTTCCCTATTCAGTCATATACAAGAAAAGGTGTCCAGTGAACATTTACGCTTTTCATAGATACTCCAAGTTGTATAATCGCATGTATATTGTTAATTTTCTTAGTAACAAAAAGAATATTTCCAGAGATCTGTCATTAGAACTGGGAGTTTTACGTATAAATTTTACATGTCATACAAGAAGCACTAATCGAATAAAAACTAAAATAAAATTCAGTAAATTGCGCGAATATCTAATAAGTACTATTAGGAGTGTACATGATGGTGAGCTACTTAGCATGTTGGTCATAATGTGCGTCAGTGGCATAGTGGTTAGGACGCTCGCCGATCATGCACATGGTCCGGGTTTCGATCCCCGTCCACAGACGCATTCCTTTACCTCGCTAAGCCAGAAATAATCCTGGTAAAGAGGAAAGGTTGGACATGAGGCTAGCAACTCCATCCTGTGAAAATTAAACACTGATACAGAAACTTCAAGCTACTAGCTTGAGGCCATATGTTCCACTGGGAACGAGAAGGAAAACAAACTGCGTGAAGCAGTGCAATATACGGAATTGAGGAGAACTCAGTTAAAAATGAAAGACAGTCAGGATCATTATCATAAGGAGAAGAAATGTCATAGTGGAGGGAGAAAAAAATAACTACTAAATAATTAGGATTAACGAGAATTACATATCCAGTGATAAAGCAAATTAGGTCCACTGTAGGTTCTGTGACTGAACAGACTCCTTCGGTAAGCAGAGTTCGGGATTTAAGTTATGGATTGCAATCACTTCTGCTGTTTGAAAAAGTTTGATTAGTTCTCCTTTGGAAATATTTCCGTGTACTGTGTAGATGACTCTAAAGTGTATCTGCAGGTTTACTGGTTATCCCCAGTCGACTAAGTGTTCCAGAATACGGCTACGAAGAGATTATTTTTACCCCTTTTAAAACCATGAAGGTAAGTATTTGGGGATGAGTTTAGATAGCAAACTCTGAGCAAGTAAATTGATGGATACACATTGATGAGGCTAACAACATAAGACCATCTTTCAAATTCATGCGAATCAAATGTTTCGTCGAAAAAAAGAACCGAATTTCATCTATGAAGAAGGTTTCCTTCTTCATTTCTGCAGATGAGTCTTCACTGGATTACAGATTTAGAAAGAGAAGTTATTTGTAGTCAGAAGATGTGTACGGATTTTGTCATATAGACTTCATGGACTTTGTGATGAAGCGTTCGGCGTGGCTATTTTCAATGGAAATCCCTTATAGAGATTTTGCTCCTCTTACATCACGTTCCATTTCGCCTATAAAGGCACCCAACTGTGAAGGTTTGTTGGTTGTCCGTTCCATGTCGGCTTTCTGTGGATAGTTCTTTTCAGTATCCTATCTTATTCATGCCTTGTGAATTGCAAATCCAGGAAGAATACTTCTGAATCAGTCTCCTTCTTTAATGTGAAATGCATTACAGGGTGGTAACTGTTGAAAAATTCTAGTATATCTCTTCAGTTTTGTAGATAGTGAAAGTACCTTTCAAGCATTTCTCGTAAAACAAAATAGTATCAGTCATTTTACTTAAGTATGTCTTCAAGTTTCGATGTATAGAAATCTGCGAAATTGGGCCTAGTAGTGAACGCATAGTTACACTACACTTTTGTTGATACATTGAAAGATAATTAGGCTTTTAGAGTGCATCTCAACATTCGTTCTTTTAAATAACAAGTGTATATGCCAATATTTGATGCATTTGACTCGATATGTTCGCATAGGTAGTATGCTGGTTGTTAAATTGAACAATTCATGCAGACTTTTATCATGACAAGGTGTTAGGTGTGTTATCTTTGTCTGTTGTTGTGCTTGATATGCTAAAACAAAGTTGACCACTTTCATTGTTTGGGTAATAACTTTGATTTACAAGATTTGTAAATAAAGATAATTTTACCACATCTTTTAGTCATCTGTGAGCAGTGGTATTTTCTGTTAAAGAAAACACTTGGCGTAAAATTTATAGCAGGTTTTTATTTTCCTTTGTTTAACATACTTGTAAGGCTACTTATCTTACCTACTGCTATAATATAATCGATTTCTGCTTGTTTCATTCGCTCTACGAGTCTTCCAGCTTCACTTTTCTCTGAAAAATGGAAAATTAATATGCATATTCTAGATACTGTTTGGTTTATTTCATCATATAGTATCATGTGTTTGACATAAAGTTTAATAGTTATACGCAACTGTTTAACTGTTGAAAATAAATTTCAAGATAATTGAAATTCTTACTTTTTAGATTCTCTAATTCATCTTCCATAGATTTCATTTTATCTTCAGCGCTGGCTTAAATGCATAAACAAATGAAGACTGTCAGTTGAAAGTGTAGAATTGAAATGATACTTAGAAAAAAGGAGAGAGAGAGAGAGATCCTGTTGTTCTTGTCACCCCAGTACCCATATTGTTTAATTAATCTGGTGAGTTTTATTACTCTGTTTACTCCTTGAGTGCCAAGTCGTCATTCAAGGTTCATAAATTCACCCTCATTTCTCTCCGTTCTCTGATGTTACTTCCAAATGATTTCATAGTTAACTACAAGCTTTCTTTCCTTCTTTACATGATCTTCATATCACACTCAGTTGCCTAGCCCGTCACTTCTCCTTTGGGTCCCATTCGAACGGTTTTCTCAGAGTATGATCGTCCCACCACCATCTCACAGTGCACATTTATTGATCTAATGGTCCTTGAATTCCAACTTCTGTCAATTCACGACATAGCGCAACCCCTAGCCAATGTCTTCGTCGAATGTAATCATCGATCTTCGGCAGCACTCTCTTAATCTTATGTTCTCTTCAGAACACTTCTGTGACCTGCCCGTTGAGGCACGCTGTATCATAAAGTTGGTGAGTAATGCACTTGAAATCGATAAATTTGTACAATAATTTCATCTCTAACCACTATAATCAATGAAATCGACAACAACACGACTGTATACCACCGGAAACGCGACACAAGAAGACAAGAAGAGGAGACAGGCCGTTGACTTGGACAGCCTTTACTGTCTCGTATCAAGAATGAAAAATGTTTGACACCACTCGTGTATTGGATTCAATGAGAACAAAATTTGGTCCAAGTGGGGGAACATGGTATCACAAAGGTATGGAGCAATGCCTCAAATGTCTGGTGTTGAATGTGATATCTACCCTTGTGAACCTCCACAACAGTAAATTACACTCACTCTTCAGAATACTGAACTACACGTTTTTGGATCAGTTAGTTTACATAGAAATAATGAGTTACACTTTTGTTAACAGAAGGAAGCTGAGATGAATATAACAAACTCAAGTCAGCTACCAGTAAGTTGGAAATTTTTGGGACGTACACTTTAATTCACACTGTCTTTCAGTGTGTGTATTGAGCAGTGCCCGGCAACATAAATGCAACTGATCGCTTCTATGTGCAATAATAACTGTTGGTGAATGCCTTTGATCAAATGGAAATCGCTATCAGCACCCATACATTGGCCTTTGTCTCTTGGCATTCTTCTTGTCAATTCGACGTGGGTAAAAGAGCTCTCATCATCTTGCCATTCTCTCAGTTAATGTTAACTGGCTAAATTACTTCAGTCTACATGATATTCTTCTCAGTTATGCGTAATCTTCCCTTTCGACCACAAACCGCTTATCAAACATATCCGAAGAGCTCAGTGATATCTAACGAGTATCCCATAAAAACCGCTTTCTAGTCGTTAGATTCTAAAAATACCTACACTGTGAATAGGTTTACTGACTAGTGCTCCATTGCCAATAAACATTTCAGAAAAATGTAAATCGATTGGCTGTAATTTATAAGGCGAATTATCCACAAACGTGGCACAACATCATCGAATGACTAAGGCTAGAAAGTACCATGTTTCAAAGATCTAGCAGCAAAAATCCCCGATACTTTCACATTATCTCAGCTGGAGTAGTAAAGTCCTATCCCACCTAAGGATGTAAATGTGTTCACCATCAGAAAAACTTGTGAACTTCTCAATGTTCTACAGAAATAAAAGAAAAATACTCAAAGTGTTCTTATATTATTCCAAACCATACATTATCTGTATGAGGACTAGGTGTTTAACTCAAGCATTCATTTCATTTCGACCTAATGGTTATCATGATCACCCTGGATTAAATGAACATAAAACCTATGTGACCACATCTCTAACCTTCTAACTAAGAAACACAATTTCACTTCCTTTTCCGAAGAAAATTTAAGCGTTTATAAATACTGTGGTAGTGTATGCTACTAACAAGATACTTAAGTAGTATATAGATCACACATAAATGGGGATATCATCTGCAGGAAAATCGAATAGCAGAGAGATAGATTTGATGAGTGATGCTTGTGAAACACCATGTGAAACATGAAGGGAAGACAAAGCATTACAATGCCAAAGATATGTGCAAATTATACTTCCATTTGATGGTTGACGTATTTTGTCAATATTTGTGTATCAAGTTCCCAGTAAGAGATAGATTACGTCACCAAACTCTCTTAAATTCCGCTATTACACCATCTGTATTTTAGCTAACCAAGGGAGTTACTAAACTCCACAGGTTTCTTTCACTACGCAAAACTAGTGTCTAGAATAAAGGGATTTATGTTAAGTGGTCAAGATCTCTTTAATATTCAGTTGATATCGAGATATTATGAACAAACATCAAGTGAAATTATTTACCTGATAATAACTTTAAATCTTCTTCTGTCTTTTTTAGATTTATTCTGTTTTTTCTAATAATATCTAAGATACATTATTGTTTTTGAAAGGAATTCAACCAAATTAATAAAATTATTTCTGATTGATTATAAATTATTTAAAATAATTCCGGCATGTTTTGAAAAATATTCAAACAAGATATTTTTCAGAAGTGTTCTGACGAAGTGTCTGACTCGACGCTCAAATTATTCCAGGAAACTCGTGACATCTATTGTCGCGAAACTTATATTTCTGAATGAGTTGAAAAAGTTTCTAGCTTTGATGCACATATCATTCAAGCATTTCTAAGTAAGTACTTACTATCTTGAATACATTTCTTCTCAATATGATGGAGATAAACTGATAACCACGTTGTTATTTGACTACTAAGTTAATCAGATAAGAATATTCATCAAAGATGTTATTACGACTCCCTTACTTATCGACATTGGACGGGAATCGCATAGGTGGCAAATTAAATTTGTAAAATTGTGTTAATTTTTTGTCGAATTCCCTTAGTTATTAGTTATAGCATTGAGACCAATATCTCCTCTGGGACGATCAGTAGGACAATACACTATCATTAGTGTTATGAGGTTTGAAGTAATGGCGTGGAAACTGTCGGCTTCGTTTCTGTCACGTTGTTGTTGTCAGGGCAAGAAGTACAGTAATGGTGACTGTTCAGTAATTCTCCACTCTACCCAATCTATTGCTATAAGAGATCAATAAAGATCTCAATACCCTAAGGTGAAGTCTTTTATTAAAATACGGGGTGATGGGGCATAAAGGTATCAGTCACTATCTAGAAGAATGTTACTACCTGCAAAATCTCATCATAGCAGATTTAAATGATTGTGAAAATAAATATTAATTCCATAAATATTTACCATTAAACCCTCTAAAGATTGCCTGATCCTTCAAAATTTCTTCCCCAACAGATTTAGTTCGTCTTCGACCTGAGTTTTAGTAAATGAATAAAGTTGTTAAAATGAACACCTTTTTAGCTATCAACGATTGTTATCGACTTAAGATACAATGATAATATTTAACTTCTACTACATTTAAAATACACTTTTGTCCATGATCTAGCTAGGAAGTTTGCGTTGAAGAAATTCATTTCGCAAATGTTTTCATTAATTACTGAAACAGTAAAACCTAGGGAAGACTATTCTGTTCTGAATTGAAGCATTTCTCTCAAAATGTGCAAACAAGACTCGAGATACTTTGGATCACAGATATGTAGTCGGATGTATAGTGCACACCTGATTGTACAAATGTTGATTCGGAATTCATAATCTTCGATCTTCTAAAATCAGTCATCTATTGGCATTGTATGACTGCCCCGTTTTACGACAGAAATGAATCACTGATTCGAATAGTAATTTTAAATGATTTTGATCGGTAACTACAGCTCTTCTCAGGATATAATGCTCACCTGAGAATTACCTATGTCGAAGTCAGTTCGAATTTCTTAAACTAATTGTGTCTTTTGATGTTAAACAATCACATCATAAATTTCATAGGCCGGTCGAGAGAGGGATTTCAACTGGTGTGTAAATGTCTCAGCTAAAAAGACACTTTCAAGTCGACTAACTAAACACAGGGCTACTACATGTTTTGCAACCTGATGACTAAACACTTCTCGTTAGTTTGCCGGAATGCAGTTCAGAGGTGATGTGAATAGCTTAGTAATAAGGTCTATAACTTTTCCGCAGACTGAGGTGGCAAGTTTGAGTCTTGGAGGTAGTTCCTGAAACACCTTGCTGATCAATACCAATATGCATGAAATCAAAGGTCAGCTCATGTTTCTACAGCAAAAGTTAATAAGTTATTGAATAATATTTGTGGCTATTTTATTCTATAAAATTATCCTCACTTCTAAAATAATATAATGCAGCACTAATTTATTGTTACAATCACTCATGACTTATTATATGACAAAATTAAAAACGGGGATTTCTTAATCTGAACTGTGGATTCTTGTTAATCTCAAAAAACATTAGGAGCTGAACTAAAACTTCGATAAAGTCATATCAAGATATGATTATGAGCAATAAATTGTGCTCGAAACGTGGTCATCAGTAAACATTACTGTATAACACTGTGTGAGACTTTATCAAAACAAAAATTTACCCATAATGGAATTATACTCTACCGCCACAGTGCACAAGTGTTATTCTTATATCACTGAACTGGAACTCTTTGTCTAACCACTAACACACACACACACATTAAATGAGAGATTGACCATCCCAACTCCTTAATACTCAACTTAACATATCCACTTAATGCCAAAGATACTCCTCTACAAGAGTAAGCATTACAGCAATAAACTTTATTTTTTTATTTTTGATTACAGCTTGATTCCACACTGTATTTTTGGTACAAGTATGGAATTTTCAGCATGTGATATCGGTAGCCCAAATTTCGCAGGCCGATCATAGATATCAGGTGTTCGTCGGCAGGGGATCGAACCTCGGACCATGTACATAGTCGGCGAGAGTCCTAACCACTGATTGATGCTTTGAAAATCCTCCAACTGATAAGATGAATAAGTGCTCTTTAATAACTTATCTGCAGTAAGATTTCCTGATAAATCCTCTACGCAATTAGTAGTGTTCTCTTAGCTGATTGGTTTAGTCACGGAGCTTTCGTCGTCCTTCTGGACAACATCTTCAGAGCAATTTTTAGCATAAACTGAACTGATTTAAATTTTCCATGAGTGATAGAATTGCGTCTCCTGGTAACCATCTACACATATGTATTGATCATTTTGTGGTTGAGCTCAGCAACTAAACCAACCAGCTGAGAGAACACTACTAATTGCAAAACATCCACCTGAGGTACAAATCTTCTCTATTATATCAGAATCCCCTACGCCCCAACGACCCTTAATGACTGTCGCCTCATGTAGAAAATTAACCAAAGTACGCAAAATATGAATCACTGGGTCCAAAATGAGTGGATGAAAGAGTATTCATGGCAAAACGTGAAATTTCATAGATGGACTACATATGAAAATATGTGAGTGAGTGTACGGCACTGGCGAGTTTCATACTGCCACGAAATATCCTCTTTCTTCTACCAAGTTAGGAATAACTCATGACAACAGACAGACTTTGGTAAGTCGACATTTCATAAATTTGCTCAAAAGAACTGCCAACGATTCTTCACTGCACAACACATGTCAGACATATTTACTTATCTCTAAATTAGTAGAATTTACCAGACTTGTTTCACACTACTGAGTGAACTAGTTCACGCAAACTCTGCAACTTTTTAACATATACAACACTTATTCATCCAGATATTTTTCTCAAGACAATTTGTCACTAAGTGGTTACTTACATGTTTCCGCTGAAAATATCAAGTTAATTTTTTCCACATGGTAAAAAGCATTTTAGTTAATAACAGGTTCCAAGTTAGATAAGTATGAAAACATAAGCACCGAAAACATTACATCAGAATAAACAAGTTTATTGTTGACTGACTAAAGAATATTTACATCCTCTACTGATATGATTAAAATTTCATAAAAATAACAATCTCAAGTCAGCTACCAGTAAGTTGGTAGTACTGATTGAGCAGTCTGGTATTGGCGTGATGCCCTAAGTCTTATAATTAACTTGGCCAAAACACCTAATGACTACAATGAAACCATGGATACACTAGAAGTTAGGTCTTCTAGCCCAAACAATAATCTGGATGCCTGTAGTTCGAATCCTTCCGTACATTATATACAGGTCGTTACTATTATTATTACCATGTAATACCTTGAACTATCGATTGAGACAGTAAAGTCTCTTACCAACTGTTCGTCTTCTGTCTCATTTCGCGTATGGCGACAGTATTGTTGCGGTGATTGATATAATAATTGTGAATAGCCTGCTAGGCTGTATTATCGGTCTTGGAACCTCCCGCTGCTAAGGCTTTCATTTATCTTTCAATCAGCATCTACTGAGTCGAAACTAAAAGTCGTTTCTCAATATTAGATACAAATATGTTCTCTAAACGTGATTATTTGAAGTATTCCTGATCTATGGTCTTTTAATTAAGAAATGCTGTACGAAGAAATTCATTGTTACAGCCCGTAAGGTGAGATAGGTAGCATTATACAACGCTACTCATATATATATATATATATATATATATCGGCAGAGAGAGATTTCAAGAATACTGTGTACCAGTACGAAGCACTTAAAATACTTCGCCGCACTTTTCTAATTTCCACGTCAGTCTCCACTTCTTTACTGGATTTCTGTAGATGGCCTTCTGGCGGAATCCATTTTTTCCCAAGTAAGTTGCTCGTTTCACTGGTTGTTACAACATTGTCATTTCGATGACGCTACATTCTACTGACTGGTCGATATGAGTAGCTGGATACCACTCACATTAACCAGGTGTTCAGGATTATCAGCAAGATCGAAGCGATCTGAACACCAGGTAGCCATTTCGCATCAATAGGGCACCATTCATCAGCAGTGTCCCCTGTGTGACGCAGATGATAAAGCTAAAATATTTCAAATACTTGCAAGTTAGCATCAAAGATATGTTCGTACTTGTGAATGTTCTTTGAGAACTAGAATACGATCACTTAGTTCAACAACACGCCTGTTCTGCTACAGCAATCAATGGAACACCTGTTCTCTCATATATGTATATATATATATATATATATATATATATATATATATATATTCAGTTTGGTTTAACACAAGCATCATTTTTAGACATACTTCTGTAGCACGAACACTATGGTAATGATATTTTATAAACGAAATTTAATTTCGACTTCATTAGAGACAACTACTACAACCTATTTAGAAACCATAAATGATTTAGTGTATAATGCTTTTCTCTTAATCTTACATTCAAACATTAGATGAGAATACAGTACTGAATTGTCGAGATAAACAACGACACATAGTGAAAGACTCAATAAATATTGATAAATTAGATTGAATTATTGTTTAAACATACCATTCCATCTGCGCTCTGACGAATAGAAAAACACTTTTATGTAGTGCGTGACAATTAGAATGTATTACTTACTAATATCATAGGAAAACCAACTATTGAAACATATACACAGATAGGAATTACTTTTCGACCAAGCTCTATGTTCATTCATGAAGCGAAGAATGACATTCGTTTCTGAATACAGATTTCTAGCAGTTTTCTTCATAATTAATGACCCCTTGTTGGTGTAGTAGTGCCCTTTGAGTTGGAGGTTTCAGCGACGAAACTCTCATTATCTTACTCAACAACAACTTTAGTGAGTACTTCGGATTGAAGTAAGCTTTTAAAATTCTCCACGAGTTTATCAGCCATCTTTCGGCGGAATTGCTCGGTTCTCTAAATTTTCCCACCCTCTAATCATTCTATGCTGGTACTGATTATTTTGCTGACCTGAGCTTCAAATTTTCTGCATTTCATTGAAATACCAGCTGTAATCGGAACAACATTTTTATACACGGCTATCATTACTCAACGTGTCCCACCTACTCTATTTGCAAAATCTTCAAAGAAACTAGTAGCCTATAGGGTGTCAGTAAAAGGAATATTGTCTGATCTGAAACATCTCTCAATCCCCGAAAGATTTTGTCCCTTCTAAATTGATCAAGCGGTATATTCCAAACCATTTAATATTACACGCACGTACAGACTATCCTTCAAGGGTGAAGGGAGGTAGTTAAAACATAGCGAAATTCAGCAAACTCGACACAGGCTGTTGATGATGTAGGTGTTCTGTCTAATGATTGCAGTTATTAACTACGTCACACAGTGCATAGGCAGTTTTAATCATCACATATTATGTTGTGACATCTGCAGATTTCAAATTCAACGGAGTGATGACGTTAATATTCACAATTAGATTCTGGACACTATGAGGATTTGGATTGATTCAACTCATCAGATTTCATCACAAACCAGAATCAATCAAAGAGAGCACTGAAAACAAGGAAACAATGGACAACCGTTCCTTCCTAAATCCAGTTTCTTCGGCCGTGCACCATTCCGGCTGGTCACGACTTCTCAGTACAGCTTGAGCACAAACATCCAGTAGCCATCAGACAGTAGGCCGTTGATATTTAGGCTATGTGATTTGCAGACATTCAGATCAATCTCAGTTCTTGGACTTCGTCACGAACCAGAATCAGTTGAAGGAGCCATTTATTTCCGATACGAATTTGAAATTGGCGACAAACTTCAGTAGGGCAAAACAGAATCATTAGGAAAATATACTTCAACTCTTCAATCCAAATAAACAGGCAACAGTAAAACCACGAAAACATGTTGACATGTTAGCTTCTCCGAATTGTATGGAGCAATGAACTACAGTTCAGTAAAATCACACTTTCAAAATGAAATTTTATCGCCATATATTTGCTACTTGCTTCTTCGAATCACTCAAACGGATTATATTTAAACTGAACCTGGAAGTAACTCCAACAAACTAGCCTATTAACTATATGGACAGGAAACAACTGTATCATCAAAAATCCTGTATAGTGGTCTACTAGTTCAAGCTACCACAACTTGAAATGACACAAAGTAAAATGTCAACTGAATGAATAACATTATATGAAGGAATGTAAACGTTAATCTAGATTGGTAAAGTTGTTCGAAATTTCAAAGATAAGAATTTACTAAGTCTGCAGCATGACAAACAGCTCTGAGAGGATTCCAAGTTTCTACGGGTTTTCATTCTAAACATTGCGTCTAATCAACAGCTCCTTATGTACCTTAGACCAACTATTATAACCTCTATATACCAGTGTTAAGTTATAATTTGAATACCCAACCACTCCCTCTAAATTATGGAAATTTCATAAAATTTTCCATAACTTTGATATTCGATAAATATGAGTTCTTTTACGGACAATATCTGTGCAAACATTTATGCATCTCGGAACAGATGAAATTACCGCAGACGTAATTTCAATGATGACAATTCTTCTCAGTCACTTTTATTGCAAATTTTATGGAAATTAGAATACATTCCTCCCTTCTCCTTCAGTTTCGAAAATATTAATTCTACATATTGCTTTAGTCACAGATCATTCCAGTAGCACAATGAGTATCATATGATTTAATTTCCAAAGCAAATTTCCACAAGCATCTATTTTCTTTATATTTCTTGGTCCGACACATCACGTAAGAATTTCATAAATTTTGATAGAGAAAGAGAGACCAGATTCTCAGTATAAAATGATATCATCATTCTATTTCACAGGTTCTCATCAGCTGCAAACTACCTGAAATTACAATGTTTATAAATAATAACACTTCATACTTCATTGTTTGAAAGGTAATAGAGAAAAGATTATAAAGTGAACGCATCTGGAATATAAGTAATATAGTTTATAGTTTAAGTTACCATCAATTTATATACTGTCAAACTATGAAAAAAGGGAGGGGGTGAGAGAAGACAGAAATTAGAAAAAGTCTAATAAACAGTGTCAATATGGCAACTCAAGAAGGTCAAAGTTCATCAATTTGAAAACTTGCTTAGTGAGGTGAACCCACTAGTGTGTATGACTAATCAGTGTAATGAAAGTAATACGGTTATCAAGGGAGTGAGAGATTGACGGCACTCTCTTTCTGTATGTATAATTTTGGTCTGTGACGTTTGATCGCAATCGCATACAGAAAGAGAGTGTGGTCAATCTCTCACTCCCTTGATAACCGTATTACTTTCATTACACTGATTAGTCATACACACTAGTGGGTTCACCTCACTAAGCAAGTTTTCAAATTGATGAACTTTGACCTTCTTGAGTTGCCATATTGACACTGTTTATTAGACTTTTTCTAATTTCTGTCTTCTCTCACCCCCTCCCTTTTTTCATAGTTTGACAGTATATAAATTGATGGTAACTTAAACTATAAACTATATTACTTATATTCCAGATGCGTTCACTTTATAATCTTTTCTCTATTACCTTTCAAACAATGAAGTATGAAGTGTTATTATTTATAAACATTGTAATTTCAGGTAGTTTGCAGCTGATGAGAACCTGTGAAATAGAATGATGATATCATTTTATACTGAGAATCTAGTCTCTCTTCCTCTATCGAAATTTTTCAAGGGAACCAAATGTATGAAATTTCATAAATATTAAATTAATTAACTTACTTGTACTTTGACCTGACAATATTAAAATCAAAAAAGTAAGAAGATAGGCGTTTACGTTTTCAAAAAAATAACAGGTGAAAATCTATGTCTAAATCAAACAATAAGTAGAAGTTCTGATGTTCTATGGGTAGAACTCAATTACTGACTGACTGGTGTAGTCATACATGAGTGAAATTCGACCAACGTTTAAGGATAATATTTGAGCTATGGACATTTTTGGCTGACTGTTTCTGGTATTTCACTGACTGTGAGGCATCAAATACCAATGGCTATCACTTACCGTCTTTTTTATCAGCCGAAATGAGAGATTTTATACTCATAGAAGATTTTTCACAATTATAAATGTGTTTAAAAATTATTGAATTGAAATTTTGATTTTCCCGTCGAAATTTCAATTCAATAATTAATATGACCCGTCGCACAAGAAGTGGCTCTCGTGGCCCAAGTGGTCTAGTGGATAATGCTTTGGCGTTTGAAACTATGGGTACTGGGTTCGAGCCTCAGTGGGAACATCATCACTCACTGAGAAATGCAGGTACATCCAGCTGACGAGTCCCAAATAGGACGAAATGCGCATCCTGGATTCCACTGCTAGCCACCATCCACCAAGTGTTTAAAAATTGTTAATTTGCTTCCGTAATAATGATCTTAATGTCATCTAAGGCCCACTGTATGTTAAGTAAATAAGCAAAGCTCTTGTGGCCGACGTTTTCTAACCCCCTCCTGGTCCTACCTTCATCTAGATAGTTTGTATGGCTGGCATGATTGTTATCTGAGAGGAGAAGTTTACTCCTGAGAAGAGCTCAAAATGACTTTTCCCATCTTTTTCACTGGAATTTCTGATACAGTAGATCATTTAAGTTATTGCCACATGTTATCCCGACCATTACGCCAAAGTTGTGTCTGTTCATTCGAGAATTCAATGAGTTAAAACCTATTTCAAGACTTTTTCCAAGATTTGCGAATAAATCTCATTGAGGTCACCGAGAATTCAGCATGAAATGAAACTGCCTGATTTAATGCCTCTCACGCATTACAACAGTAAAAGTTTAGTAAGAGTATTTGTCTCAATAGGAAAATTCCGCTTCATTGTTTTATTCAAGCTGAAGGGTTTAATGCTAGCAATAATAATAATAGTAAAGCTTTATTATAGACAATATGTGAACATAAATTACAGAAATTTTAAGCGCATTCATTTCCACTACTATCTATGGCTAACAATTATGTATGGTGATTTCCATTAATGTCTGTAGGAGAAGAAACTCATCCTCAATGTAACGTGACCAAAATACCGAAGATTTGTGTGAACAACAACTTGGAGATGGTCGATTGCTATGATGGCGGTCTGTGTGGTAAATCTGAATAGGATTTTTATATTGCCAACGAGCAGACGTTTGGTATTAACGAATTGTCCTACTTATTACGCTTATCATGTGCTAGTAACCACAAGAAATTCCTACTGGCTGTTGTGTTTCTTTCTCAGTCCAGTGAGGGCTACCGCCATTTTTACATGTTATGCAATAATCTGAAGTAAACTATTTGTCGTAGTGATCCTGCATATGAAGAGAAAACCAATTCTGTACACTGTTTCTTCATTTCTATCTAGAACTACATATCGTATAGTGGGAAACTAATTAAATATATGAGCGAGTTCATGTACTGGTCATTTGATATAACTGTACAGTTAAAATAATAAGAAGTGTAGAAGTGTTTAAGCATTTTGATGGATAGAAATTCTGGCAGCCCAGTGAATTAAGCAAGCTGTCGGTATCTTAACTGAACTACCTAAATTAAAGAAAGTATACTCTTATTATTATTTATTAGTCTTAGTTATATGCTACAGAATGAATAAGCGCGGGATTTGAAATGTGTTTTTTTTTATCAGAATATATACCTGTCATTTTCTTTTTGTTAGTTTTATCAAACCAAATCGACCAACTTCACATAATACATGGAACTTATCATTAAATTCTAGATACTGTTTGTAATTAAATCTTCATTAAATATCGGATATTTCCTTAATAGTCATCCTTGAGAATCAGTTACAAGAAAGACCGAAAATTTCAACTACATTTGAACAACTTCCATTGAAAGGAATGTAACCCACGTAAGTCGAAAGCCTATCTAATATTGCAGTGACACCGGAATCACTAGATGTAAACATCGAGTCCTATATGAAATGTCAATAATCAGCAGGATGCAGAGGTATGTGAAGGTAAAGAGTACAAAGTAGAAGAAATGAGGAATCTTAGATTCTACAACAAATACTGTCACCAGACACTGTCAAATATTCAAGTATGATTTGATAACATGCAAATGTTAGCAAATAATCCCAAGTGAATTCAGACGATTTAACCACATTAAAGACTGAAAATCTTATTAAATAATAATAATTTTTCCTTCACGTTCCCAGTGGAACATAGGGCTTCAAGCTGGAGGCTTGCAGTTTCTGTAGCAGTGTTTATTTGTACAGGATGGGATTGCTAGCCTCATGCCCAACCTTTCCTCTTTACCAGCATTATTTCTGGTTTAGCGAGGCAAATGAGTGCGTCGGCGGGGGTTCGAACCCTAGACCATGTGCATGGTTGGCGAGCGTCCTAACCGCTATGCCACCGACGCTAAAAATCTTATTACAAGTCTGTAATTCACTTTTTATTCATTATTTTCAAGACACACAAAAGTCTCAGAACAACTTACCATCATTTGAATGAATAAATAGTAGAAGTGAAATAACCGCTAGAATATGAAGTAATTTCATGGTTTTAACATTGATAAATGCAATACGAATTTTTTTTTTCTAGTGTTAGGCAAACTGTTTAAATGCTTATTTATACCTTTTTATTGAAACTATATTCACAGTGAAAAATGAAAATTCAGTGTGAAAATCTAAGTTCAATCACCTGAGTGTGATACAGAATCACCATTTTTTAATTGCTCAAAAATATACTTAGGAAATTTCTATAACAGATGTCCTGGTGTACATGAGAATACTGTATTATCTTTTTTCATCATAAACCTAGATTTTCCACTAGTATGGAGTACTTTCTCATGAAAAAAACTACTATATTAAACTGAATTTGTCCTAAATTCGTTTAGAAAAGGAACCTATTTTAGGTAAGATATCATGTGCATACAACATTTTACTCAGTGAATGATCTTAATGGAGTAAATTTGAAAGAAACAGCCGAGAGAATCTTGAAAGTTCTATAATTTCTCAGACAATGATAATTGTATACTGTGTAAAGAATAATGTGAACAATTTACAACAATAAATTTAAGCAAACAATATTTCTCCCACTTAGATCTCATCAGACTTAACTGTAATATACATAATTTTACAAATAAATATTAAAATTTCTCAAAAGAATGGATATTGAACAAAGAGTACTCATTTCGATAACTTCATCATTAGACTGTACAGTTATATGTATATTATAGTGAATGAACAAATTAGTGTTATGAACAACATTAATGTTTAAATAAAATCGAATCAATAAGATTGTTAGATTACATTATTTTGATCTGACACTAGTAACTGGTAGGAAGCGTCTAGTCCTCTGATTGGTGTAGACTGAATTCTATTAGTCAGGTTGTAATGTGACCACCATTCTAGCTAGCTCGCCATTACAGTGCACATTGATTTAATGGTATTAGATGGTTGGAGGCAATCGGCAGGAAGCCTTACATTATTATTAAACATTAATGTTCTTCATAACACTAATTCATTCATTCCCTATAATGTATATATAACGGTAGAGCCTGATGATGAAGTTATCAAAATGAGTACTCTTTGTTCAGTATCCATTGTTTTGAAAAATTTTAATGGGCATTTTTAATCAGTTAAAATATTAAAATATAAACCAGTCATGATGTTTTTGTCAACAGAATAAGACTGCGCATACAAATTGTACAATTAGTCGTAATAAAAATAACAACGTCGGTGGCACAGTGGTTAGGACTCTCGTCGACCATGCACATGGTCCGGGGTTCAAGCCCGTGCCGACGAACACCTGATATCTATGGTCGGCCTGCGAATTTTGGGCTACCGATATCCACGCTGAAAATTCCACACTTGTACCAAAAATACGGTGTGGAGTCAAGCTGTAATAAAAAATAAAAAAATAAAATAATAATGATTCAGTCAGTAACAAAATGAAAATATGAGATGATCTGTGATGACGAGAATTACAAAAAACAGCATGACTAAACAAACAAATGTTATCGCAGATTGCCTCAATTTTTCTTGTTATTGTTATTCCCTTGGATTCCGAGTGGAACATAGGGCTTCATCAACACATCTCCACTTTCCTCTATCTTCTGCTGTCCTCTTCAACTGGCTGACCCCACAACTGCTCATAATCTCTTCTCTCCTCCTTCCTAAAAGTTCTCCTCCATGTCATCCTTGCACCGACAACCCACTCGTCGCTTTCCATCGGGATTCCACTCCAGCGATTGCCTGCAGTGAACCCAATGTCATTCGACGGTCTCCCCAACGCATGTCCGATCCACCTCCACTTTCTCCGACATATTTGTTTAGCAATCAGCTCTTTTCTGTTGGTTTCTTCCCAGCCGGAATTCCGTGTTGCTAGTTCTTTCCGGTCGGCATTTGATCTTCAGTATGGAGCCAGGGAATATGGTAGCTGCTGATAAAAGTCTGTAACTTGTTGGTATTTCTTTTCGTGATATGCAGTCCAAGTTCCTGACCTGTATAGAAGAACTGACTGACTTCACATTTGTATTGGGAATCCCAGTCTTGTTTAGCATACTGTGAAGTGCAGATTAACACGCTGGTTTCATGTTTATGAAAGCGTATCTTGACTTTCCGATTCTAATTGGCTTTGACGTCTTCGTCCATTCCGCCTGAATTTGAAATGATGGTTCCCAGATAAATGAAGGAGGTAACCTCCGTTAAATCTCTCCCGTCAATGGTGATTGGTGCTGGTTGTTATTGCTATTGATTGGTTATTTTCATCACCTCGGTCTTCTCTGTGTTCACCTGCAGTCCTGTCTTCGCTGCCAGCCTCCTCTGCCAGTTTGTTGGTTTTCGCTTGCAATCCTTCGAGTTGGTGCGACACTAGACATGCATCATCTGCGAAATCCAGATCTTGTAGAGTCTTTCTATCGGTCGTCCAGCTCATTCCTGTCTTTTCGCTCCCAACGCACAGTTTGACGTATAATCCAGTCCACCATAGTTAAGAATATCATCGTTGATAATAGACAACGCTGTCTTACTCCTGCGTTCACTTCGAACACCTAACTCAGTTTCCCGTTCTGGATCTGGCACTGTCATATAGGCAGCTGTCGAATGAGATTGATAAAGTCTTGAGCATCGCACGCCACAGTTTTATAGTAGTTTCCAAATTACTTCTTGGTCAACGCTGTCTGCTGAAGGCCTTTCGAAGTCGATGATGTTGAGGTAAAAGTCTGATTGCCATTCTATGCTCAGTCCTGTGAAGACCATACGTAGAGCTCCAATTTGATCAGCAAATGATTTGATTTGATTTTTATTTTTTTATTTTTTATTTATTCATTTTCTTTTTTGATTTACAGTTGGATTCCAGACTGTATTTTCAGTACAAGTATGGAATTTTCAGCACGCATGTGATATCGGTAGCCCAAATTTTGCAGGCCGACCAATGATATCAGGTGTGCGTCGGTGCGGGCTTGAACCCCGGACCATGTGCATGGTCGGCGAGAGTCCTAACCACTGTGCCACCGACTTTCCTGAATCCAGCTTATTGCAGCAGGCGGAGTTCTGCATCCAGTGCATCTTTTATTCTCTTCAGGATAATTGGAAATGGTATTTAACCTGGCGTGGACACAGTTTTATTATCCTATTGACAAAACACCATCACTGGTCTATATTTTAATATTTATTTGTAAAGTTATGTATATTAGAGTTAAGCTTGATGAGATATAAGTGAAAGCAATATTGATTGCTCAAATGTATTGTTTTAAATTTAACAGTAGAAATATTTAATATTTTGAAATCTGGAAAATATCAAAAGTGGCAGCTTGATTCCGAATAGGAAACAGTTTTTGAAAAATGACATCTTCATGTCACTTTCTTTGCTGAAACTTTAGATTATGAAACTGGTAAATTAAAACAATAATAAAAATAAGTAAAACTTAACAATAATAATAACTATTATAAGGAAAAGGAGGAACTTGAAACGCACTAAAATAACATACTGAAACTTACACCTTGTGCGAAATAAGATGAATCATTAATTTTTGCTCAATTAATGTATCTGTTTACATAATTAGTAAACTCCTATTTGATTTAAACAAGAACATTTAACTCACCCGATAAACCCCGAATACGTTTAATGATTTATTAACGATCATAATTATTCATTCCTTGAGTTCCAAGTGTAACGTAAAGCTTCAGGTGTATTCAGTTCTCCATGATCCTGATCAACCTCATACAACCACTAACTTCCTCCTCATTCGATCTCCTACATATCACACTTGGAAATTCAATTCGTTGTCTCTCACTCAGGTTCCACCTGAAAAGCTGACTCACGATATCAATAGAAGGTTTCCGTAGCACATAACCAATCCATCCCTGTTTTCTTCTTTATATCTAGAGGCACGGTAGGCTCTTGGCTTGTTCGCAAAACTACTTAATCTTTACTACTGGCCAATGGATCTTTACTAATTACCTAGGGAAGATGTTGGTAAAAGTTTACAATTTGCTGGAAATGGTTTTGTCGGATCTATAAGTTTTTGAACAGTATAGAAGTATTATGTGAATTTGTTTAAAAGATTGATTACTGAACAAAAAATATGCTTTCCGATAACTACTTTATTAGGTTCTACTGTTACATTATCCATAATAATGAAAGAGTTGTTGTTATTTTATTGACAAAATCAATGTCAGTGATTCGGCGTAACTTTCAGGAAACAATAACAATAACTCTTTCATTGTTATGGATATATAACTATAGAAGCTGAAGAAGAAGTTATTGAAAAGATAATTCTATGTTCAGTAAACAGTCTTTTGAAATTTCCAATGGACTTTATTTGAATTTCGCCTTGTGTAATTATTTATTCTATCAACCGGAATTGTTTTCACATTCACCTGAATAAAACTCATCCTTCTCAACATAAAGACGATTTCACTTAATCATTTAATTTTAAAACAATAAATTTACAGTGAATTCATTTTACCTATAGTCTATTTATTCTATATCTATGAAAACAACTACAAAATGTCCATCAATAAACTAGTGAGTTGTTTTCCGGAAGGAGAGAATCTTCCCTTAGTTCTTTTGGAATTCTTTCTAAGTAAACATTTTTTTAGTGTAATGAGAAATATTACTTCAATGACACGACTTAATGTTACATCTGATGTTGAAGTAAATTGTCCAATGACTGGCTTCATAAAATTTAGAGATATCTGAAAAGAAAGTCACACGAAGGAAACTGTACTTCTCAGAGAGTGATTTTCAGGATATGTATCATCCTAAAATTTATTTTTGTTCTTTTTTTATTTCCTTCACGTTCCCAGTGGAACATAGGGCTTCAAGCTGGAGGTTTGAAGTTTCTGTCGCAGTGTTTATTTTTACAGGATGGGATTGCTAGACTCATGCCCAACCTTCCCTCTTTACCAACCTTATTACTGAGTAAGTGAGGTAAGGGAGTGCGTCAGCCGGGGATCGAACCCCGGACCATGTGCATTGTCGGCGAGCATCCTAACCGCTGTGCCACCGACGCATACAAAATTTATTTTTGCTCTTAGAAATTATAATAGGA